GCATTGATGATAAGGGGCAGTAATGTGACTGCATCTGAATAACTGCATATGAAATCTTGAGACGGTGACAACCTGGGTTTAAAAAAATAATCACAAAAATGCACACTGTTTCTTTTGCCTTTTCTCCATACTACACTGCTGTGAGCAGTCGTCATAGCAAACACATTCGCAGGGGCAAATGATCTGAAAACTCTGTCTTAAACGAGGCTTCAGGCAAGCAGATTGGAAAGCAAAATCAGAGAGCATACTTTTTTTAAGTAAAGAGCGTGGATTTGAAAAACAAAAAATGTTAAACCGAGCAACGAGAAAGTCACACGAGTCAAAGGAACAGAGCTTGCGTATGCCTTTGTTAAACCTACTGGTCCCTGCACATAAATATAATAAATAGTTACATGTCCAGTGGGATGCACGCTAGCACTAAGTCAACTTTAATTTCACACCATGTAATATATAGTGTTTGATTTAGCAATGGTATAAGTTACTTTGTTAATTAGTTGTTAATTAAGCATGCGGGAGCCGAAGCGTAGCTCATTTACCAGAGGGCACTGGCAGAGCCTTCTGCGTGGGTAACAGAAAGACCCTATACTGCCCGCCGTTAAGCAAATGTCACTGACGCGGGGGTCTCATGTTGAAATGCGTCAAAGAAATCCATCCGAGTTTAATCACGGAGAGTATTTATTTGTGCTTTTCCAGCTCATCTGAAATTTGTGCGTGCATTTCTTTTTCTGAGAATGCTGTGGGACCATAAAGCGGTCTAAAATGTCAGGCTATATCTGAAGCAGAACAAATATTAAATAGCTTACACTTATTTTTTTGCCACTGTAATGGCTTGCACAGTTTGCTTGAGTGAGTACAGCATGCCAACATGAATGATGTTGACTCTCTAATGTCACTGACGAAGGTTAGATGTATGATGAAAGATAATTTGGAACAAAATATTCCACAGTGATATAATCAAGACTGCCAGCACTGCGGTGCTGCTGTCCATTCATTTCAACAGTAGAGTTACCACCTTCCTGTCTGATCTCATGAAATCTCAAAAGTTACACAAGGCTCAGCCTGGCCAGTACTAGCACAGGAGAGGAGGAAAGCCCAGTTGCTGCTGTAGGTGGTGCTGTGAACCAGCAGGTGGTGCTATTTCATCTGGACAAGAATTTCCAAACCCATGCCCCAGTATGGTGACTGGGAACACTGCGCTATAGGAGCTGCTGTCTTTTCAGAGAACACATTAAATTAAAGTCCTGCCTACTTAGTCATTAATAATCCCATTGCCCTGGAAGAAGCAGTGGTGTTAACCCCGATGTGCTGCTCAGCTCAGCTCTGGGCTTTTACAATCTGCTCTGCCTAAAATCCGCCCTTAATTCAGCCAGTGACACAATGTCTCACTCAGCATCTGACTGCAGATGGGAACTGAAACTCAGTGATGGGTGATATGGATATGGATATTGTATGTAATGTTGATTTGGGAGTTTTGTCTTTTGTTTTCCAGTTGCATAATTGAGTACATGTACTGTATAAGGGAATGAAGGATGTTTTCCCCCTTCACACCTCTGTGGAGTTCTAATGCTTCTTTTAACAGCAATTCACCCTCACCATCTCCTGCTCTGTGCAATAGAGAAAGGTCTTCATTTCACAACTATGCACCAGGAATGAGGACTTAAGTCTTTATGCATATTAGCACACACACTTGGAGATCACACCAAACTGCCAGTGTGTATTTTAAAGGAAAACATTGCAATTCTTCTTTTTCACTACATTATTGAAAATCTGTTTACATTTAAATTAATTTACAGTAGCCTAATCAACTAATTAAAGAGCTTGACTAATCGAAGGGGTTTTTCAAAAACCCCCAAAGGAGCTGGAAGTCTGTTTGACTATCCAGGCTTTCTTTTTAGAAAAAAATAAAGAAATCAGAGTCCACATAAATCTTTTGCCAGCTATCTGTCCATTGCACTGCTAATGAGGTAACTACACCACTAACAAATTACACTATTTAGCTGTGGGAGAGAAATGGGAACAGAAAATGCACAACGAAGGGACTGTGATAAATGTCCCCACTATAGCAGGACAAGAACAGCCTTCAGATAATATTGATACATGCTGACGAGTGTCTGTTGAAGGCAATCGACCAAACCAGCCCAAACAGTGACTGCTCTTCTTAAAGACTGCAGCTCTTTTTCCTGAATTAAATAAAGCCTTTTTCCAAGATGTTATGATTATTTCAGGTTCATATATCTAGGACATATCTGTACTTTTTAACATTGTGGAGACATGATGAAAAGATTTCCGCGCCAAGATTAAAGTTCTCAGTAATTAGTAAAATGTCCTCATTAGACTGAAGATCTGTTATCAGGCTTGACGATATGGGGGTGGTGGAGGGGCGTTGTAGGAGAGCAAGCACATCTAACTTCTATCCATGCATCCTCGGTTTCCAGTTTTGAATATATTTGAAAAAACAGGCTTGGCTTGGATGAGTCCTACCCTCGAAGCAAAACTAAGTGAGCCCCTCCCCCAGAACAACCCCACAAGGAGCAATATGTTCATTTTGAGTGTCCTCTACTAGTTATTTATTGGCTCCCCAGTAAAATAAAAACTTGCACTGACCGGTTTGTTGTCCTGCAGTACAGATTTGGATATCTCTTAATTACATCAGATAAAGACAACTTTAATTTTGCGTTTCTATATATACTGGCTGTGGAGGTTGAGAGGGGATTCTTGTTAAAAGTGATTATTTAAAAAGGCTCACTTCACTGTAAGGGAAAATACTGTAATCAGCTAATTAGATTTGCAATACAGTATATTTTTGACGGGAGTTTTTAATGAGGGCTCCAGATGTTTAATCACAGACTAACAGCAGAGTTGTTCTTATGCAGTTTTACTTTGAACGTTTTACTATTTAAAGCAACATCAAAATATAGACTAGATTACACATCAGTTTAATTTGCTCTGTATGAACTGGGCATCCTTAACAAGAAGCACTTCTTGACAGCGAGAAGAATATGATGTAGTCATGGAACAGGATATACTTTAGACATGGCACCTGTGGATCCCAGCCACATCTGTGGGGTCCTGTGGGAAAGAGTCCTTCCAGCTTCTCTGCTGACAACAGGGTAATGAGACAAAAGACCTGTGGAAACATGTGCAGGGGGAACATGCAGACCTCACACCTCACACGCATGGGCACCCATGGGTGGGATCTAACCCAGAGCACTGGGCAGAAGGTCTGACCACCATGACAGTGACATGAAAGCCCAATAAATACCCCTCAATCAACGTTCTTATGAGAAAAGGTGTGTGATAGGCATGGCAAGTTTTTGGAAACACCCAAGTTTGAGAGATACCCATGTTTCCGGAAAATGGCACACCTGTTCCTTGAACAGTATTGGCAAAATACAGGCAGGTTCACCATATGGTAGTGTGCTGCCATCCTTGGTCTGAATCCTAATCTCCTCTGTATAGTGAACGTTGCTGTTCTGCTCAAGGCAGGGCCCAGGCACTGTGCTATTGATTGGGTAGGAATGAGTAGATATCAGTACAGCCCTAACGAAGCCCTGCTTTGTTAAAATAAACCCCCTTACATGTGAGATAAAACAGACTTGACAAAGATCCAAGTCACAACGTGGAAGGGCTGGGCACATGTTCCAGAACTACAGTAACCCACTCCATAATTATTACAATTTATCATTCAATTGCCTGTCAGTGGGATCAATGTGATGGGTTGATTCAGAGAGTTTCACTGAAATAAATTGGAATTCCTGCAAGTTGATCAGCCCCGATTTAGAATCATTTGCTTTTGTACAGTCTCTGGCCATACTGTGAATACCCCCCGTGTGTCCGGACTGATTGCACATTAAACACCTGGGCCACTTCCTGCTGTCTCTGTGCTCCTCTGCTGCGCTGAATAAGCTAATGAAATAGGAAGCCACCCCTCCATAAAACATGCAGGGGCGATAAACCCGACAGAACAGTGCTGATGGATGTCTGGCAGTTAAGGAGCCGTGAGTCTGAAAAGACACCGCGTGCCCTAATTCTGCAGATCCATCACCACAACTGACAGCACTGAATATATCAGAGGCCTAATGAAGAGCGCCCCACTCTTTCAAAATCTACCTTTTTGATAATGCTGTGCTGCTATGCATATACATTTTTCTCAAATCTCAAAACCAAACAATATTAGTAAGGAGCTGTGTACCTATTTCCCTCAGTCTCTATTTACAATTGCTCCACCACACCGATGAAAGTGATAGAAAAGTACTTTGAATCTCCCCTCACGTCTAAACAGCCTGTTGTGTTTGCTAGGGTAATTATCCTATACCCTTTCATTTTAAATAGATCTTAGAGTTGAAATGGCATTTAATGCATTATCTCTTATTTTAAATTACTTTGATGGAGATAAGAGATTTGTCTGTCACTGAGATTTAATCAAAACAAATGGGTCCCAATTCAGCTGCTTTCTCTATATTAACAAGTTTCTACATTATTTAGTGAAATAACTAATGTTTTATGTTTTTGACATACAGTACAGCTTAATTCTGCGCAGATGGTATTTTTGGAAGTTTAGATGCTAGATGCTCTGTTCTTTAAGATGAAGAAACACTCGATGAGCATATCATCTTCCTCAGGTAGAACGTACACAATTTCATTCAATAACAGCTCTGTTCCTGTTGTTAAAGTTAGCAATGACAATACAGGGAGTCCTTAGTCCTCCTGTCAGAGTAATAAGTCAAATCCTGTATTGACCTGCTGCACAAGCGATCTGACAGTAAGTGGAATAGCATTACATTTGAGTCAGTGTCTATATAGCTCTTCAGATAAAAAGCAACACAGGACACCCAATGAGTGAAGACTTTTAAGATTAGGGGAGGGAGGTAAGGGAGGTGGGGCTGTGAGTGGGTTGTGGGTTGTGTTTGTAGTGGTAGTGGGTACGGGGGGGAGTTTGGGGGGGGGGGCATTAAATAAAGAGACAGCTTGGCACCCTGCTTTCAGAATTCACAGGAACACAGAGACGCAGAATAAGAGAGCGAGAGAGACAGAGGCAGAGAGAGTGAGAGAAAACCCGTGAGCTGTCCACTCCAGCACATCAAACTTGAACGTCCCATCTGAGAGACCCTAGAAGACCCATCACCCTTTCTTGCTCCTGCTATGATGAGAACAGTGCTGCTCCTTTCTGCCCTCCTGGTGTTACTGACCTGCTCCCGATGTGCAGTGATCACAGGGGTAAGTCTCTCTATACATTTAACAAAATGTACATGTAACAAAATGTACATTTCAGCATGAGCCCAGGTCTCCAAGCACTTGGAGAAGGAGCTGCTGGGATACAATTAAAACCCAGACTATTTTCTGCATGAATTTATGGCTTGTAAAAATATGCAGAGTTAAAGTATTCTGCCCACTTAGATGTACCTATAAATACAGTAAAATAACATGCTATTAGATCTTAGGTAATTTTTGTTTTTAGCAAAAATTGCTCAAACGGAGCAATAGAGTTTAACAGAGAGCAGCAGAGAGAACAGCAGTTTGGCCACGAGCGCAGCTCTCAGCTGCGCCTTCTGGGGAATTATGTTTCTCCTCTGTGTCTAATTCAGTACTCATCTGTGAGACTTTTTAATGTCCTAAAGAAGAGCACATTGGGGAATGAGGCTGGAGTAATGTCTTTAGCATATGAAACCCTGATGAGACTTATTTCTAATTTTGAAAGAAAAATGTGTTAAAACCATTACTTGTTATGTGCACTGTGCACTGCAAATTATTTTTTAAATCTACTTTACTCTTGAAGTAAGCATAACACAATGGTAAAAGTTCATTTAAACTGCAATGAAGAACTTGAAAGTGGGTGAAAATGTTAAGGAGGAATTTAAGCGGAGCTGTGTCAGATCCACCAAGTCCATCTTCGGTATTATGCAAATGAATTATTGACAACAAAAAACATTTTCATCTTTTTTGGAACAACATTAATTATTGCTTTTACGGTGTTTAGCTACAGTCCACGAGTCTGTATTGTTTCATAATGTCAGTGTCATACCATTGCAAGTCCATTGTAATTCTGCTATCAGTAATCCAGCAACAGACAGCACTAAACTTGTGCAACAATGGAAACATAATGAACTTGCTATCAACACAAAGACAAATCTCCAAGTGCAACAAATAAGCAAAACTGAAGTACCTTTGTCTGGACATATCTATACACTCATCTATAAATCATACCCATTCTGTCAGCTTTGGTCTTTATTTGTAGCTGGATGAAAATGGCATTTATCTATCATTTTAACTCAATTATTTCTCTATGGCATATTGTCTGTAAAGGTTGCCACAATTAGATGTAAATTCATGTATTTTTTAATCATGGAGTATCTTACATAATTTACCAGGTCTGTCGACCTACAGTATATATTTTTCTAGGAAGCTGCAGAAAAGTAAAAATTTCAATTAGGCTTTCATTTGATTCAAATAAGATGTAATTATTTCATAGTAATAACACATAATACAGGTTTATTCGAAAGGTCTAGAACTAACTCATACTTTGGAAACAGATTTCAGCAATTTTTTTAATCTTAGTGCAGTGTGGCTGAGGCAGAATGTTTCATCTTTTTAATCTTGATTTAGTCAGTAAAGTATTAAAACTGTTTACTTTTTTCAGAGGGGAGAGAAACCCATTAGACTGGTGTTGTTATTGACAGAAAGGAAGCTGGAAACATAGACTAGAGAGCAATCATCAAGCTGCTCCGCTGAACTTAAAAGTTTAGATGTCTTGTTTCTTGGTTATTGTGTAGTTATTTTGGATTGAACTGAGAAGTAGGCTGATATCTTCAGCTGTGGTACCAGCAACGTGTGGTCCCTCTTTTTGAATAGTGAGTGCAAAGCTCCTAGAGAGGAAAGAGAATGCAATTGATTGAACATTAAGTTGCTTTAAGAAGAAATATACCTCAAGATCTTATTGTCACTTGGAAACAGTATTGTAGCGTATTTCTACAGTATACCTACAGATTTGACTTCAGATTAGAAAGGTGTTCTGAGTGTCTTCTTACCCTTCTCCCTGGAAAGGAGACAATAGATGATGGGGATGTACTGCCAGCATTGCCCCTTGCCCCCTCCAAAAAATCTTTACTATATCCCTGCTCTGCATGCTGCAGAAATGCGCTTCAGAACCTCTATTCTGTAGCTCTTTGCAAGAGCTGTTATGACAAATGTCTGGTGTCACGTTCCTCCTCTGTCCCTGTGAGGACAATTCAGAGAGCTGAAGAGACCCAGGTTCAACTTCAGGAATCCTCTTCTCCCCCACCCACTGCGTCTGGGAGGGCAGTAACTGCCTACAATGAACAAGGGCTGCCCCTTTAAAGATCCCTGGAAGGAGAAATGCTGTCTCAAGGACCGTATTGGGTTTGGTGGTGTGAGGAGTCAGAAGAATCTCTCCTCATGCACTGGTTTGAAACAGCGGCCTTGTTGTAACACTGTTCTTCTTTCCCGTGCCGCACGCCCAGGCCTGTGAGAGGGATGTGCAGTGCGGGTTGGGGACCTGCTGTGCGGTCAGCCTCTGGCTCCGAGGCCTGCGGATGTGCACGCCACGCGGGAGGGAAGGTGACGAGTGCCACCCCTTCAGTCACAAGGTATGCCATCAAGAAGGCCTAAGACCTGCCCTCATCTTGCTCTAGGAACGTCATGAACTTGCTCTCAACAAGTGCCTGGGGGAGACGCACAGTACCAACAGCTTGCACTCATCTTTATGGTGGGTGTAGCTTCAGGCAAAAACGGGTTGACCGAGCTCTACAGGGAGAAACCATCTAGTGGTATCTTCAAGGAACAAGTAAAGGTCTATTCCATGCTGTCAAGAAAAGAAAAGAGACACAGCATTTTGGCTGTGGTGCCTTCTTCAGGTGTGCGAGTCAGATGACAGAGGGCAGTAATCCTGAGTGCACTGCAACAAAAGACACGAGCACTGCGATACCCGACGAAAACACAACTGAAAAGAAGACTCCACAGCTGAAACGTGTGTTTCTTCTCTTCAGTATGGAATAAACCTTTACTTGTTCTTTTGCAGCCCACACATGCCGACGCAGCTCCTTACTTGAATTTGAATTTCTAGTGGTGTCTTCTCAGAGATTAGAAGGGAGGTCAGTTGTAATATTCTGGACGAACATTATCAATTGGTTAAAGTAATAAAGCCGGAAGTGAAATCTCTCAAACTTGTTATCTCGTAGCATTGTAGGGAAATGCAATGTGAAATAGAGATGGGGTCCACTAAAGGAAACGTTAGCACCATGTTACTAAAGGGCCAAAACCTCTTGTAAGATGGAAACGAGCTCTACAGGACCTTTATGGTAAAAGTATGAGACCCTGGGCTCTGGGTATGGACCTTAACAATTAATGTTAAAATTTGAGGAGACTGGGAATCTTGCTCCAAACTATCACAATCGCTGTTCTGAATTTTAATTGTGTTTCATTTTAGTTTCATCCTTTTAATGCCTATTTTGTGTTTCACTGTTGAATCTGAAGATTTATTTGGTCAATACCTTTAAGGTTGTTGAATATTTGAATTAAGTCCCCAAATCTTCCTCTTTTCAAAAATAAAACTCTTTCTATTTGTCTATGGAGGACAGCTTAGGATCAATTCCAGTGCAGTGGTGTAGTTTTTAAATTCATGACACAATATCCCAAATAAGGTCTTCCTTGGTGCAATTATGCATAGTACATATTTTCCAGCATGTTTTTGAAAGGGGGAGGGGGGGGAGGCAAAGGTTTTAAACCCTTATTTATGTCACCCATGTATAAATGGATACATGACATGTAGGAGCTATCAACCTGTGTATCAGAAAGCTGCTTATTCCTGATGAGAGCCATGGTATCCTGGAGCCTTTCCTACAAGCATGGGGCATAAGTCAGGACTACATGCTAGATGGATGCCTGTCCATTTCATAGAGGGACAATTTTGTGGTACCAAATAATGAAGATGGGAGGAAGCGGGAGCACTCAAAACTGTACAGTGAAGCTCAGGGAAAACATGCAATCTCCACACAGATGATGCTCCAATCTAGACCGAAGAGCTGTGTCACAGCAATGTCAACCACCACACAGCCTTGGCATTTAAGATTAGTTTGTAGAAATCAGTAATATAACCCTTTTCTTCTTTTACCCCTTTCTAAAAAGAACTATTCAGTGTGCTCTAATCCTGCTAAGTACAGATCTTTCTGCATACAGAGATAATCATTCGGCACACGCCCAGTCTGAATCCCTTCTGACGCCTCCATATTGTGTGGCCCACTGAGGGAATTGTTCAGAAAATGTATGAATTTGAGCCATAAATTTTCTCGTTATCTTAATAGGCAGTGAGGGCTATAATTTAGAATGGTGTCCCAGAAAGTGGGGGAGGGCCCAATTATTTGTGATGGATATAGTTGCATAGAAGCACCCACTAAATCACTATAAAGAGGTTATCAAGCCTGGCTGGGTTCCTGTAAAGCAGGGGCTGCAGGTGAGAGAGGACAGTATACTTAGAGGACTTTCTGTGTCGGTCCAGATGCTGCTGCAGCTGCAGCAGTAAAGAAAACAGAAAGGACATCTTTCCGGACAGAGCTGGATGAGAGGGCTTGGGGAGGTAAATTATCTGGGACGACAGAGAAAGGGGAGCTCAGAAGGAAGAATTCATTTGCTTTTCCCTTTGTGGGTATTAGCCTTCAGAAAGTGAAAAATATCCCTCCGGTCCAGTCATCTCTGTAAAAAGAAAAGGTAGTATCAGCACTGATCTCCGGAGAGATTTCAGAAAAGCTGCTGATAACTAGATATTGATCTCACCCCAAGCGACGCACGATCCCCTGAATAATACATCACTTCGCTGGCGGATCTATTGCTGAGGATTAGTGTAGCTCTGAAGGAAAATGCCATGCTAGGAAATGGTAGTGGATTTCCCCAGAGAATCCACACAACAGAAGTCTGTTCATAGGGATGGGATTAGAACGTCCTTGCCTAATCTCTGTTTTTTTACGATTGGAGTGGCAGAACTGTACAAAAGCACTCTTGGGGAGTCTTAAAACAGGACTTCGCTGTCTGGTACTTTAAACGTCAGGCCAAAAATCTCCTAACATTTTCAGGTTCAAAACGTATCCAGGACAAACAGGTGACTTCTTTTTCAAAGGGGATGGATTAAAAAAATAAACTATTTTACATTTCTTTCTAAGACTCACAGTGAAACATGAAGACTAATTTCTCTAAGCACCTTCAAAATCAGTCCTCTGCTAATTTGCACACATTTTCTGCTGTTATCTGACTTAACCTTGGTATTGTTGTCTGGAGCCAATCTTTGTATGATAACAGGGATACCTGCCCAGGGTCCTGGAAAGTATTCTGCAGTCATAATTATTCTCTGCATTTTGTAATGGATTAATTTAACTATTTATTAAGTTTCTGTGGCACAGTTTAGCTTAACCTATAAAACCTGCAAGGAAAAGGCCCCTAAGGATCAGGGGAATGTCTCACTTTTATATAATCCTAGTTAAGATCTATAGTTACAACTTGTACCCACAAGGTGGCGCTGTATCCTGCTTTGTCTTTGCGCTGACTTTGTTTTGTCTGTTCTCACACAGGTTCCTTTCTCTGGAAAAAGGCAACACCACACGTGTCCCTGTCTGCCTCATTTGGTCTGCACCAGGTTTATTGACAACAGATACCGGTGTACTGACAACTTCAAAGACATAGACTTTTAACGACAAGGAGAAAACAAGGAAGGAAAGAGAGGAAGGGAAGGAAGGGGGTCGCTGGGGAGGAGATATATTTCTGTGCATTATGATGAAAAACAAAAGAGCCCTGCAAACACAACGCAAACGCGCCTCTTTCCACTCAAACGTTCAGATAGTGACACTACACTAGAGGCTTCTGGGAAAACCTCAGTCTGCACTGATGTCTTTTCATTTAGTTCACTGATTCATCTTACTTTTGATGTGCTTGATGTACATTTGCAGTTTTTGTTAATGTTTTAAGCTGCTCCCCATTTAAGCAGTGATACCAGAACTGTCTGGGTGAAGCAGATTAAGACAGAAAAGCATCTTCTGAATGTTGATTCTAGCATGTACTGGAATTACTCAGACACTAAGAGGTTCATATCACAGAGCAGTGCTTTAAGTAATTGTTATTCCATGTGAGATATATAGGGAGAAAATTTTCTTACTCTTCAAGTCATTTCTTTACCTTCTTTAGTACTACTTCTCAGCAGCACAGCCAATGAAACAGCCCCTTCGAAACATAAACGATTGGTTTATTCCAATGGGATTTCTTTTTAACCAAACAAATCTGTAAATGTCTTACACTCCACAACAGATGCTGTTATTTTTTTTTGCTAATGGCATTTTGTATGTGGTAAATGATAATGAGCAGTTAAACAGTAGGAGCTTTGGATACCTGATCAAGTCCAAATTCTTAGTAGGCCTGAGCTGAGGTAAGTCAGGCAGCAGAAATATCCAGTTGGCAAGTAAAATCGTTGGACTGCTGGAGCTCAGCACATGTCAGACAGCATAAAGACCCTCTGCAGTGTGATAAATCCATCCTGTTGAATCTGTACAAGGAGTCAGGTTGCAGCATTGCTGGGAAAGAGGAAGAGAAAAACCTGTTATATAAAATAAATCTGTATCTACTATGAAATTGCTAAGACTGCTATTTTATTTATTGATGGAATCAGATTAAAAATGTTTAAAAATTACTATCATCACAATTGTAAGGATGTTTGAAAATAAATTCTTGACCTGAAATTTGTTGTAACATCCATATAACTTTATTAAAGTGCCATAAAGGGCGCATTCCTATTTTTTTAATGTCATTGTGATACATACAGTAAGCACAGGACCAAGCAGAGTTTAATTCCATGCTAAAAAAAACAGAAAAAAGGAAAAAACAAATTTCAGCAGTGTAACCCAATTCAAGTATCAATTTGTATTTAAATTATCTTCAAACCTTGGTATATATTGGAATAATATGTTATTGTAGTTTCTGGATAACTTTTGGCTGAAGGCAAAATAGAGTTCCATTTGTTTATATCGCCTTCAATTATTTTACTGTCTCTACTGTGGGAAACACCCCTGTGGCCCATTCTTAAATAAATTAACTTTTATCTAGGCTTGATGATGACCTGCCTCTCTTTGCACAAATTTCTTTGTTGACCAGAGGGTGGCAACTACAGTTTTCATGCACCCACAGGGAGATAACCCTACATCTTGAGCAAGTAATGTTATGGAAAAGTATATAGGCCAAGGATCTTTTAATGGAACATTAAGTGCTGGTTGATAACCTGACCTTGTTATTTTCCATCACATTAACAACTGCTTCTTAGAACACTTCAGGGATTCCTTCTTATTTTGCTTCAGACTTTCTTTGTTTTAAAGCAGCAATACACAGGACAGATGTCTAGTGAAATTCTGAAAGTCTGGAATGAATATTTGAATTCCTATTTAGAACCAGGTTCTGGAATGCTTAACATAAATCTAATTTACTGAATTACAGTTGTTTTCAAGGCTTTTCAACTTGGGAAAGCACTGCAAAACATGGAGATACAATGAAATCACCTAGACAAGGAGCACTAAAAATCTAAAGGAATATGAAGAAACAGACTGGCGTGCAAATCCAGAGAACCTGCTTCATGGGAACTAGATTAGATTAGGCCTTTAATGAAAAAGGATGGGATTTTAAAGCTGCACTGAAATTGAAAGAACCTTCATGTTTCTGAAATCACACACCTTTGATGACCTGCAAAATGTTGCTTAATTTCTGTGTGCAGCAAGGCAATACAACCACCAGTTTATTTAATAAAAATAAAATAAACTTAATCTCTGGTATTTTTGTTTAAATAATTCAGATGTTGATTTCTTTTTTTATATGCTGGTTTCTATGCTTAAAAAGCCTGCTGCATTTTCATTGATTATGGCCCATCTTAATTCACACACACTGGGTCCAAACCACATTAGTGATGTACATTGGGTTCCTCACCTCTTCTGATCTGTGGCAGAAACAGAAACCTGCTGATCCACATGACTGTATGCAGGAATTTAGCAATATAACTTCATTTAAAGTGATGCACTTAGCTTCCATGCTAATTTCTTTTAAATGATGAGCAACCAAATAATCCTCACCCATCTCAAAATCTCCTTGTGATGACTGTGGCAAATGTGTGCGTTTTCTAACAAAAGATGCACTTACATGTACGCTTTTCTTTAAAAATATTCTAGAAGCAATCAATCACTGGCTTAACTGAGGTTCTCCATCTATTAGCACAATATAGTCTGTATTTCACTGTGGTTCATTTTCTAAAGTCAATGGACTTTCACTGGTAGCTGATTTGCGGTTCAGTAAGATTTGTCACACAAGTTGCTTGCTTCTTATCAAGAGCCTCAGACATGGTCCTTTATCTGGCTGCATTGTGTGCGTTCAACAGCAAAAATCAATTAATAACAAAGACACAAGAGTTTCATGAAAAATTATCAATATAGAAATCTGTTGCACTTGATAAAAACATGTCGCTTTTTTAGAATGCAGGGTCAGTGAGAGAGTTCACGTGTCTCCAGAGCTTTGTTGAACTGACTGGGTACAAGCACTAGATAAGCTGGGCTTTCTTTGCAGAGAAAGTACGATCTCTCCCCGAATCACAAAGCACCCCTTCCTTGTTTGAGGGCTTTTCCTGTTTGAGGTGTTTTCGAGATTAAGGCAAATGGGCAGGTATAAAAGGATGCCCTTGAGATCTCGGAGAGCACAGCAAGACCCAGTGTCCTGAAGAGCTTGTGAGTCTGCTGAGAGAGACGTGACAGGATGAAGTGGGCGATCGTGTTGCTGGGCCTGGTGGCCCTCTCTGAGTGCATGACCAAGTGAGTACTGCAAACATAGGACAGCATGCTGAAGCGATCACACGAGACAACGATGCAGAAATGAGCACAGGCTCAAGAAAATTAACCTTAGGATTTAGTGTAGTTTATCAGCACTTTTACAATAGTTTACCTGTGGCTTGTGTTGTGTTTCGCAGGCATGCCTTCACCATGCTTTACTACAGAAATAACACGGTGTGTTATGGTGAGCCTGCCTTGCACACATCAGTAATAGTATGTAATGACAGACCCATAATCACAACAAAAATATGGTAGAAAAATCAGTGAAACTCTTGTAAAAGTGTAAAAATGTTCGGATAGAGCTACACATGTGAACATTCAGGGGGTAAGTGCAACCCATGATGTACAACAGGTTCAAAAGAAGCAAAAAGGGGGCTGGGTAACATAGTGCCTCACTTGGAAATCATGCAGACGCTCATGCAGAAGAGGAACTACGTTTTAGAATCATGTGTGATAGGTGTCTTCCTTTTTTTTGTGGTGGCAGTGGTGGCTGCTCATTTCAAAGCTGAAGGACTTTGTAAGTGCCAGTGTAAGAAAGCATTGCAGCAACTTTTTTATATGTGATATTAAGGTTGAGCTGGTTTATCTGGATGCATTACATCCCTTGAACAGTAACAATGTGGCACACACAGACAGCTTCTACCTGTTGTTTACTGCAAAGGTAACTTAGAAAGCTATAAAGCTTAGTTCTACCTGTACTGCACCTGGTCACCCTCTGTTCACTGAGTGCACCTCATTAATGATAAAAAATAAAAATGTTTAATCAGACTCATTCTAAGGACTGCAAGAGAAAACCTTTAAGTGAGCTGTCTGAGGGAGATAAAGAAACGTTGGATGTATTATGGGCATACTTTTAAGAGAAGGAAAGGGAGGTCAAGCTATTTCATTCTAGTCCAACACTTTGCCTCTTGTTTTCTAAGACCAGTTGAACTCCAGGCATTGATGAAAATCGCATGTGAAAAAGGAGATAAAAATCTTTTCTTGCTCTTTTTCTGCTTTTTCATAGCACGTGTTACATTCTTTTGCTAGGTTTGCCTTCTGGCATTTAAAATGTATTTTTTAGGTAATAAAGAGCATTGGTTTGTTTTAACCATTTGTTCCATTGGCTTGAGATAATAAAGAGATGGTTGGTAATGTCCAAATCTGTGTGCTGCTGTGCTCTGACAGGGTGCCCTTGTTGAAGAGGAAGTCAATGAGGAAGGCGCTCATGGAGCAGGGCAAGCTGGAGGAGTTCCTGCAGAAATACCCCTATGATCTGGCATCCAAATACTCTCGCTATGCCACCACCTCCAACCTGCCCATGCACAACTACATGGACGTAAGTGCACTCCATTGCCAAGGAGAAAGTGATGATACAAATATGCCCAGTTCATCTTGTCCCTAGGGGAAGGCGGTAAACCTGTGTCTTTTCAAACCCAATTGCACAGTGGAGAACGTGTGCAAATTATAAGAACATCTAAAATATATAAGAACGGTTTCAAATGAGAGAGGGACATGTGGCCCATCTAGCCCATTTGGTAGTTAGTAACTAATTGATCCTAGAATCTCATCCAGCCATTCCTTAAAAGATTAATTCTGATCATAGGCTCGGCAATCAAAGGTGTATTGGTATTGTTTGCTTGCAATGGCTCTTTTACTATGCTTTTTTCCAGATCGAATACATTGCCACCATTTCCATTGGAACCCCACCTCAATCCTTCATTGTTCTCCCGGACACTGGCTCTGCCAATCTCTGGGTGCCTTCCATCTACTGCAGCAGCCTTGCCTGCTGTAAGTCCTGCCAGCCTTGTTGCTCAAATAATTAGCAATAGCAGTGACACAATCATTATGAGCGTTACTTCTGTTCTAAAGATATGCGCATCTTTATAAAAGTTGTACAGTAGATGTAGTTGGTACCAAATTACACTGTTTTTCTTCAGTTGCTTCCAATTACATTCTGGACAAATTAATTGATAATTAGATTTTTTTTGCATGGACTCATTAATGATGTCCATTTAGTCCATGTAAAATTGCACTGACTCTGTAATGATTACCTGATTGTTTCATGTGGTGAACTTTACTACTCCCCTATCACATCGCAACAATGTCGATACTGTGGCAGCCCCATGGTACTACATGAATTGAAGAAAATGACTCAAAGCTACTTTTCTAAAGGGAGAGAGCAGAACTATTGATGGAAATCTTAAGCTGTGGGTCAGTAAAGAGTAAGTGACACCGCTAACAAATATTCCCTTCTGAATGCTTTCAGCGAACCATCACAAATACAACCCTAGCCTGTCCTCCACTTACCGTGCTCTCAACACCCCTGTGTCCATCGCCTATGGCACTGGCAGCATGACAGGCTTCCTGGCCTACGACACCGTCACCGTAAGCACTTGTCATCAAGTTCCTCCATACTGTATTAAACAAAAGTGTTATCGAAACACCTTTGTCTATGAAAGTCTATTTTCTTTGCTGTCTGTGTTGAAAGGTGGGCGGCATCATTGACTCCAACCAGGAGTTCGGTCTGAGCCAGACTGAACCAGGCAACTTCCTGTACTACAGCCCTTTTGATGGCATTATGGGTCTGTCCTACCCCTACATCTCTGCCTCAGGAGCCACTCCTGTCTTTGACAACATGATGCAGCAGGGTCTGGTGTCCCAGGATCTCTTCTCTATTTACCTGACTAAGTGAGCCACAGATATTTTTTAACAATCTCTAGTTCAATTATGCATGGGCATGCACCGATGTAGTGCAGCATACATTAGTGAATCCAGGCTGCAGGCTGGTATTGGCAACAATACTTTGTGACCTGCTACCAGTATGTTTGAGGATGTTCTTGTATTGCACACCTAACCTTTGTGTTAACCAGGGCTTGGTTTTGAACCTAAACTTTAACCAGGCTGTTCAGAGGCACAAAAGGTCATCATGAGCAAAGGTGTTTTTTTCACTTCATGAAGCACGATACTTGCATAACACATAATTTCTCACCTGGCACATTTTAATTAGCTTAACGTAACCAGGTTTAAATTCATCTGAAGTGCTTTCTCTTTGTGTTATTAAATCACAAAACTCATCACTCAACTGTGCTGTTTTTGCAATGCTAGGAATGGGGCCTCAGGCAGTGTTGTGACTTTTGGAGGATATGATTCATCTTACTTCACCGGCCAGATCAACTGGGTCCCTGTCACCTACATGGGCTACTGGCAGATTGCCATTGAGAAGTAAGACAAGCCTAAAATTAATCAAATTTCAAATAGGGACATTTATTATCACAATCAGCACACCAGAGCCAAATAAGAGGAAGAACAGTTGAATTACTCACAGAAATATAAATAATATAAACAAACTGGCACTGTTATTTTAATTTCATAGGTTTGTCCATTTTCGTTGAGATAAATACCCCACCTAATTGCTGAAAGCTGCTAAAGAAATACATTGTCTATGCACACCTGTTTGCGCAGCCACTAACTGCTTTTCTTTGTCACAGTAGGACAGGTTTTGTGTCAGTGTCACCTGCTGCAGGTTATTGACAGTGACTCAGGGTTGTGAGGTGGCTATATCCCATTTTTCTGCTGCTTCAGATTCTGATCAGATTGCCCCTGTTACCAGTGTGGTAAGCTGTGTTGTTCTTGCTTTCCAGTGTCATGGTTAATGGACAGGTGGTGGCCTGTGCCCAGGGATGCCAGGGCATTGTGGATTCTGGCACATCCCTGATTGCTGGACCCCCATCTGAGATCTCCACCATCCAGCAGTATATTGGTGCCACTCAGAACAGCTACCAGCAGGTGAAGTCATTTAAATGGACTTCTGCTTTCATTGGCTTCCCTCTGAATGTAGTGGATTTCTGTAGCTTAGTGTTACAAAATGATGACAGGTTGGCGGTGAGTTGTTACAGAAGGAGACAACACCCTCACCTGTGACCTGTGACGGTGTAGAATATGCTGCAGAAGAAGATCATTGCTCTGAGGCAGTGAATTATTTCATGTTGTCAAGGGCTGAGTAGACCTACCTACAAGATCGTTCTGTTGCTTCTCTCCAGGTCTGTGGAGTATCCTACTCATGGCTGATACAGACTCACACCCAACATTTTAATCAACTTGGAAAATCAGGCATTTCCTAGTATTTAATGTTTCTTGTGCAATTTTCAAGATGTAGAAGTCCAGACATTATATTATTGAATGGTCGATAGTTTTGGAATGACTGACATCGAACCTTTTTGGTTTAACAGTATTCTATCAACTGCCAGAACATGGGTAGCATGCCTAACGTGGTCTTCACCATCAATGGTCTTCAGTACACCCTGACTCCTTCTGCCTACGTCCGCCAGGTATGTGACCCAGAAAGCATCAACTAAAGGTGTGACAACATGGTCTCACCATGCACTTTCCTGGAATGTGCTTTTCAATAGAAAACAATATGTATGAGATCAACCCATATGTATGAGATCACGAAATCAAATCCAACTGATGTATGAAATCAACCTATTTAAAACCGTAAATTGGCGAGGTCGTTCATTCTGGTTGTGTTCTCTTTTATAATCCTCATAAAAGCTAGATAAAGATATGAATGTCTTTCCATGCATCTTCAGTAACCACTGCAACCTTTGAGTGTGTCAGTGATCTAGAGTACAACTACATCCTGGATGGGACCCAGTCCATCACAGAGCAGAGACATGGTTTGTGACAAAACTGGAGCACTTTTTAGACTACTGTTTTCTTTGTTGCTGTTGTTTTATCATCTGGTTGAGGTATCTAGACTGTGGTAGCCAGGCTGAGTTAATTAATACACTGGTATAGTGAATTGGTTACTCTGGCAGTATCCATGATAGTGCTATTCTGGGATTCGCAGCTCTACGGTGCCTGCACCAGTGGTTTCCAGTCCATGGCACTGCCGTCCGCCCAGGGAGACCTGTGGATCCTGGGAGATGTCTTCATCAGGGAGTACTACGCCATCTTCGACAGAGGCAACAACAGGGTGGGCCTGGCCCAGGCTGTCTAGGATTTAGGAGCCAGGGGCACGTGTTGATCCCCGCTCCCCAAATCCTGTCTCATCTAATCTTACTAGCTATTGTTTTCCTTGAAAGAATCCAAAGAGGAAATATAAGGCCCAACACTGACAATAACAAAATGTACAGTTCACTAGGAACAACAACAACCAAGATCAAAGCGTGATGAACTATTATGGGGCGGATATTGGCTTAACCTCCTGACCAAAGGACGAGGAGGCCAGGACCCCCCCGCAAGGTAACCAAGGGGCAGTTGCAGGGGTAGACTTGGGGTGGGGGTGGGATGCAAAAGTTGCACGTGAGGGAGAGTAGGAAATCACGTTGGTATTTATAGTGTTTGGTGGAGGGAGGATGACAGAAGCGATTGCTAATTAGTGACAGCTGAGTACGATTGAGCTTGGATGTTGCCATCCCTCCTGAACGTTCGTTATATAAACTCCATTTCATGTCCCTTGAAAGTAATAGTAAATTCAGTGCCTGTTTCGACAGTTTAAAAAGATTGAAACATTGTGCAACATTGCCCCATCTTCTGTTCTGTACTCTCATACACTGTTTTTCTTTCTGCAATAAAAATATCAAAATCATACACTCCTCTGTTCTTTTTTTCATTGCTACCATTTAAAACTCTTATGTAGCACCAGTACTATAAAATATTCATCACTGCTCAAGGTCCTCCACCTGCCTCTACGCCTGTATATCAAAAACACAGAGTTGCATATTGCAACATTAATAATAATGTGATTTTTTTGTCCTCATGTTTAATTTAAATATTTTTCGTGTGCCCATTCATTCTTGTACACTTATACACTCATCTGCATTTATACAATCCAGTTCTGGATGTTTATCAGAATTCTATGATATGAAAGTAACTTTGGGGTTTGTGTTATTTTTTACATTGCACACTGGACAGAGCAGTAGAAGCTTACAGGCTTCCAAATTTCAAAGATGCAGCCCTGCAGCTTTAGTATACCAGGAGCACAGAGTATAAGGGGGACTGTAATTTTTCATGACAGAACTCTTCAATGGTTTTATATTCGAACTTTGCCATTTGGAACCAAATTTAGCCAATGAGCCAACAAGCACCAGTTGTGCCTCAGTCTGTCATTCGAAGCAGTATAGTACATTGCTTTAGCATGTGAAACATTCTCCTCTCAAGCAGAATCCTCTGATGCATTTTCTTTTATTGAACTACCACAACTAATCAATCAGCTTTGTGCATTAAACCATGGGAAAGTTACAAACAAGAAGGGTCTTTAGCCCAACTATCCTATTTGGTAGTTTGTAACTCAATGATCCCAGGACCTCCTCCAGCTGTTTCCTGTAAGAAACCAGGGCATCTGCTTCAACCACATGGCTGGGTAGATTGTTCCAGACCCCACACACCTTCGTGTTGTGCAGTGCGTCCTGTCCTGATCCAAAGATCACATCCAGCCATTTCTTGGGAGAAGCCAAGGCGTCGGCTTCAACAACATGGCTGGTCAGATTCCCACAACCCTTTGCTTAAAGAAGAGCCTCCTGTTCTGAGTTTTAAATGACTTCCATACAGTTTTCATTCATGTTCACTGTTTGTATTTATGTTTGTGTTGATTAAGAAGTAACCCATTTGGTCAAACTATGAGGATAATAATACTTGGAATGAAAGAACACTTGAAGTACAGTAAGTTAAATGAAAAAATCCTTAACATTATAAAAGAAACATTCATTAATAAACTTTATAAGATAGACTTAGGATCTAATTCCTAGGCAAATGCAGTTCTGATCTTTGTCCAAGTGTTACTAGAGTCCTGCCTTAATTTACCTCAAAAGCTCTGCAAGAGCCATAGCAATAGCAAATCTACAGTATATTGTTTTACCTACGAACCCCCTTCTCTGATATTCATAATCTTGAGCCATCTTCTAAAAATGGATGGGGCCTAGCCCGTCCCAGTCCCTCCCGCAAGCTCAAAAAATGTGGTTTTCACCTTTTTTCTTTCTCCATTGAAGACTGTGAGATTCACATTAAATGTTACAGGACATTTCTAAAACTGAGAACTACTGGTCAACATTTTCCATTTTCCATTACCTACTTGAATATTCTAAAGCCAACAAAGTGAAACATAAATCAGAACATTTCAATATTGAAAAGGGATTGTGCTATACTGAATGTTACTGAACTATGTACAAAAAATTAAGATTTTAATAATGATGTAAAGAAAGAAACACAATTTGTAAAGTTGGTAAAACTGGTAAATTGTCACGAAATAATTACCAGGTGTTCTTGATATTCAGAAAATTAATATCTTGCAGGTGATTTTATGAGCTTTTATGAGAGGGGTGAACAAGATGACTCACTTGGCTAATGGATCAGACACCAGCAGGCTCACTAGAGTATAGCCTGTTAATGAATCAAAAGGGAACAGTTCTATATATATACTGTAGTGATCTTCCTAGGAGGCTGAGTTAAATGTTAATCCCTACCTACGTAAAACTTAGTATAATAAAATTATTGCTTTTCTATAAAATTATATTTGTGTTTTCAAAGAATAAGCCAGGAGTCCCTGTGAGGCTTTTCTGACATTTAATAAAACTACCCATGTCTCAGCGCACAACAGTTTCTTGACTTTATCTCCAGCATATGTAATGAGTGCTCTGAGGTGTTTATCTTCATCATAGGAATTCCAGATAAAACTGACAGAAGAATTAGGGCTTTAAGGGCGTGTTTTGCCCTACAAATAGGTGGCATATCCACATATAGAGCTGCTGACATCTTGAACAAACTATCCAGCCATGTTATTAAACCTGATTTTCCTGGGTTATGTGAAGAAATGGCTCAAGTGGGAATTTTGAGTCAATAAACTACTAGCAGCAACTCAAAGAAGATGGACAATATTCCTTCCCCCCATTCCCTTTCCTTTCCTAGGGCCTTTGCTGTGTCCATGAAGGGAGAAGTGGGTGAACTCCCTGTGGGATATTCAGGTGTTTCATGAGCAATTGTCATCTGTGGCTTGATGAAAAGCTGTCATTTCTGTCGTGTTTTCCTGCATAGCCTTCTGTTGCGTTAATTCACTTACTGTATATAAGTCTGAGAGAGGATTAGGTGAAAGAAGAGGGCTCCTTCTTGCATGGGGATTTATAATTATATTATCCCTTTACTTTTCTTAGCAATAACCAATAGATCAGCCTACGTCATGGGCAAAGTATGCACGTCAATGGCCATTGCAGTTTGCATTGTCATTTCATAAACATAGCTATATTTTGTGATTCTGTTTTTTTTTTATTTTATCTCTGCTTTATTCACTATGCCCGCAAGCTAAGGAGCTCTTTCAGGTGCCTAAAAAATGTCCTCAGAAACTACTGCAACAAGGGAATTTGCCATTGCCAAAAGTATCAGACTTTGCTTTTCTGTAACAACTCCAGTACTTGCAAGCCGTGAATCTGGAAATGCATACATTCTTATCTGACCTGATAAGACATTTTAGGTGTTCAGTCTTAACAAATATTAACTCTCTGCTGTAGTTAATTCAACAACAAACTCTAGAAAGAATAGTAATACTTAACTAAATTAGTTTTTAGTTTAATGTTTTTAGTTTAACCTAATATATGAAGGAATGAATGTCTGTGCACTGAAATCAAGTGGTAACACATAATTAAGGGCTCTGTATTTCAGAATTTGAGAAGTTTTAATACAAATCCAATATTTGTTACATATTAGATTTCCCTCTGTCTCTATTTATGATTTAACTCTCAGCATTACGCCATCTGGGTTGTGTTCTAGTATGATTAAATTACTAGATAAAGGAAGTGACTCTAACTTATAGAATCAGGCTGGGCATTTGATAAAGGATCAGACAATTTAAACCACGTGCTCAAGCATATTTTCAGGAATGAACGATGAGAACAAAATTACATTTAAAAAATTAAAAGTCAAAACCTCCCCTGTCCCAAAGTCTCTCTCAAATTGCTGTTTTTAATTAAATCCAGTTGTTTTACCTGAGGGGTAGAAAGACATACAGTATTTCTTCCAGAGCTTGCACCAATCTGACACCAAGAAACCACACGGTCAGCATAAGTGTCACTAATATTAATGTAACAGCAACAGCACACAGTAATTTAACTCCCTGAATTAGTCAAGGTCTAAGGTGTAAAATTTATTATGAAGATGTTAGATTAAGAGGTTGTATCAGCTTCTGCAAAGGAATAATGATCTGCAAAGGAACAAGGGGTGGTTAAGTCAACACAGAAAAGTAGCATGAATGAGTAAAACTTGGAAAGAGGAAACCAAATGGACTTATTAAAAAGAAGCTCAAGAAGAGGTTGAATTACGTATGATTTTGCACTTCCGGTCTCTTATATATAAAAACTTGCCTGCTGAGCTCCTGTTAGCAAATGTTTTTTCTCACCTCTGACCCAGCTCAACTTTCCCAGCTGCTTCCATAGCTCATTCCTCACAAATGAGGGGAGTCTTGACAAATCTGACTTCACAGCCAGATAAGTGAACACCAAACACCAAAATATTAAGTACACAATCCCTTTATATTCATCGACCTGTTGCATCGTGCTTACAATTTGATTGAACTGCTTATTCGTTTTTTGGACTTTATCAAATGTAATCCTTTCGGTAACCAGATGAGTCAATGGATAGAACACCCTCATTTGTGATGGCACCCAGAATATTTACACAGTAGGTCATTTACCAAGCAAGTCAAGTGAAGTACCTTGCCCAGTAGCTCAACAGCAGCCTGTATCCATGACCTGCCAGTAGACTAGGGTCAAGAGCCTGCTCCACTTCCACTGCTCCACAGCTGAAAATATATTGTGAAGTTAGTGTACAGTATAGCACAGTTCTCTTTGCCCTGTCTCCATCCTGATGTATTATTCTCATTGTCTCTCAAAGCAGTCTGATGACTAAAGTAGTGACTGGGGACATCTATTCATGTGTGGATAAGACAGTCCTTAATTATGGCAAAAGGAAAATGATTTGACTTTGCACAGTTGGATTTGTATGCTTCATATCAACTGCACATTTGAAATAAATAATCAAGCACGACTCTAGCAGTCACATTGTTTGTTAAATCCACAAAGCCTGGTTTGCTTTCTTTGCTGTTATCAGTTTGATAGTTGCTGACCAAGGGCAAGACATTTTATTAAGATCTTCATTCTTTGGCAAAGGAGAAAGGGTGTTCTTGTGTGAAAGACTCACATTATCTTGTATTCCCTGTAATATCTAGTGCTGCATTTGTTTGATGTACTGTACGTTCCACGAACCAATAACGTGATTTACATTTTATCACTTGACAAAATATATTGAATAAAGATTAATGCCAGATTTCATTTTAAAAAATGCCCTGTAATTTTTTATTCTGCATATGTATCATTGTTTCAAGTCAGACATTGCTAAAGGGTTTTGTATATTGTTGTACTTAACAAAAGAACCTCCATATTGATCATTTTAAAAGAAGAAACAAGTAATAGGTTTATTCCATGCTGAAAAGAGAAGAAAGAAAACACAACGTTTCGGCCATGGAGCCTACACCTGAAGAAGGCTTCACGGCCAAAACGTTATGTTTTCTTTCTTCTCTTTTCAGCATTGAATAAACCTATTGGTTGTTGCTTTACAGCCTACGCATGCTGACACAGCTACCCACCTGAACTACAGTATTTAAAAAGAAGTGCTACTCACATATAAACACACAGTATGGCTGGTTATGCTTTTAAAGGACTCAGAATCAGAGACAGAGACACACAAAATAATTATCCAGAAACCAGACCTGTAAGGCAGACAGGTTTTAACTTGGATTGTTATCTCTCATCCTAGCGTTAATCCCACATCAGCAGGGTCCGCTTGTCAGCACGCCCATCTTCATTTGGTGGTTTGAACCAAATCTTTGAGCTGACGTTGCCATTAAATGCTACCGAGAAAATACTCCAACCGGCGCGTCGCACCGCCTGTCGTCGGAGTAATGTAGCCAATTCATAGAGGGGGATTATTAGGAGGCATGGGAAATTTGGTCAGGACGCCGGGGTTACACCCCTACTCTTTTCAAGATTTTTAATGACCACAGAGTCAGGACCTTGGTTTTACGTCTCATCCGAAAGACGGCGCTTGTTTACAGTATAGTGTCCCCGTCACTATACTGGGGCATTAGGACCCACATGGACCGCAGGGTGAGCGCCCCTTGCTGGCCCCACTAACACCTCTTTCAGCAGCAACCCTAGTTTTTCCCAGGAGGTCTCTCATCCAGGTACTGACCCGGCTCACACCTGCTGAGCTTCAGTGGGTTGCCAATTGTACAGTAAGTTGCAGGGTGACATGGCCGCTGGCCCATTTAACTTGGATTGTTATCAACACTCTTTTTTCCAAAAGAAAACACAACACATCATTATATTGTAACGCATACAGCCTCCATTGCTTGCGAGAGCTGGCTTACCAGAGCGGTGACGTCACCGGCCTTCCCTGTGGATAATAGGGACTGCAGTCAACAGGCTGAGGGGAGATTTCCCTTTGGCTCAAGAGGCTGGGTCCCTGTTGAGTGAGGCTGGAGGCCTGGGTTCGAGTCCCCGACGTTGGGGGGCTGACCTGATGCGGCAGCGGTGAGGGTGCCCATGTGAACCCCGAAGCGTTACAATATGATAGAAATGGATATTAAACAGCAAAAATGAAATATGCTTAATTTTGGCATTTATGTGGTAGATAATTTTATTTTGGTGTGTCTTTGCCTTGTTGGTACTAAAATGTGCCCATTCCAGGGCTGGAGTTATCCATTATCATACTAACCTGAGTGTTTTGAGGGAGTTCTCAAACATTCAATGACACAGGACACGTGGCTCGACTGAGCACCTATTGTTCCAGACGTTCATTTGTACACATTCGCAGTTACATTGAGAAAGGACACACCTCTTTATTATTCCACTGCTTATCGCATGACCTGAAGGCTTGTTGGGTTTTCTTATCGTGGTAAAGTAATGGAGGGTCCTATTGTGACCCACAGGTATAAAAGGGTCTGTCTCACCCCAGCAGGACACTCTCAGCCTTGAAGTCCAGCGGGAGACTGTTCTGAACTGCAGCACCATGATGAAGTGGGCCGTTGTCCTCTGTGCCCTGGTGGCTCTCTCCGAGTGTATGCACAAGTGAGTTCCTCTTGTCTATTTCATACTGTACCTTACAGCAAAAATTACAATGGGATTCAAAATATTTCCACTGCAGAATGCTTATTCTTTCTTAATGTGTCTTTTTGCCAGGTCCTCTTAACATTCTTCTTTCATTTGCCTTCCGCCATTTCTGTGCCCTCTCATCACACACCACTGTATGCTTCATGCTCTTAAAGAATCGATGCAGGTGCTTCTGCCATGACCTTCCTAGGAGGCTGAGTGAAATATTAATTTCTACCTGTGTAACTAAGACAGATACCTGAGGTTTTCCACTTGTAGGATCAAAATGTTCAAGTGTTTTTGTTTTGGTGAGTTGGTCTTTATTAGCTGCAATTAAAAAAAAAGATACCATAAGAACAAAAAAAGTATAACATAACAGCATCTCCCCTTCCTCCTGCCATCCGTGGTGACCTTTTCTACGTTTCCAGCCAAAGGTCCCAACGCAAATGTGACTCATCAAGTGGAGGATGGATGAGCAAACAGGAAAAAAAATCCCTAATAAAAGTTTATAGTGGTATACTATAGCAAGATGCCAGTAAAGTATTGGAAAGAGCGTGACAAACTATGAGGTATTGGAAACCTTAATACAAACTTCTTGAAACCATGGGATGGCAAAGGCAAAGCATTTTATAGTGAGAAGGGGGAAACCATGAGACAACTTTCAAATTTACGTGCAAATTCATCACAGCTGGATTTGAAGAACTACTTACAGATGTTGTCAGAACAGATACTTGGCAATGGTGAACAGACGAATCTCATGGGAGAATGTCTGGATACAGCCTGCAGTTAGCACGGAAGCTCAGTTCGTTAGCACACGACACACAGAAGCCAAGTCATTGGCTTCAGCTTTGCACTTTCATTATGTAGCACAAACATACTGTAAATTCTGCCTGGATTTCTGTTTTATCTTAAGCATACCGATGGGTTGTGCCCTGCCAGAAAAGTACTTAGTGTAAATTTCATTGTGTAAATTAATTGGTACTGTGGTGCCAACACAGACCTAGAACTATTGCTCTTAAGGGCTGCATTGTGAATCTAATCTAAGCTAACCTGGTTTTAGAGTCACGTGTCCGAGTCTTGTTAAGGTCTCGTTCCAGTCACTTGAATGTGGAAGTCTCACGGTCTGTGTATCCTACAGTGCAAGATAGGAGAACTCTGGCTAACTTGTCTGTATTCTTTGGTTCCAGAATCTCATTGATTAAAGGGAAGACAGCTAGGGAGGCTCTGGAAGAGAGAGGCTTGTGGGAGGAGTACAGGAAGAGACACCCCTACAACCCAATCATCAAATTTGACCCCATTGCTGCCGCAGCTTCAAATGAGCCCTTGACTAATGACGCTGATGTAAGCATTATCTCTCCTTTGTACCTGAGTATATACTGTACTATTAACACTGAGAATGTTTCTGACAAACGTATTTCCTATTCTGATATTTTCTACATATTTTAAGAAGTAACAGAATAATATGGCAAATGACCTTAAAAAGGATTATTTTTTAAATCAGAGTAAACATCTGTTGTGATGTACAGTATATATTTATTTACTTAGCAGATGCTCTTACCCAGGGTGTATACACGATAGATACATTAAATTAACTTTAGGTAACTAGCAATCCTTTGCATACAACAAGATAACTGCAAAGCTATGAAGACCATAATGGTCATAATGTACTGTACACTTTAACTGGGTTTCTTCCATTGTTAACAGTATTGGAAACAATGAGATACACTCTATCAATATTGAAGAGTCCAGAAAAAAAATATGACTTAAAATTGGGTGGGGTATGATGTGTTAAATGCAACAAACAAACCAGTAAAAAATTATTACAGTTCTGATTCTTTTCGTATAACGAGATCGTAACTATTATATTACTGTATAACAGTTAATGTATAATGTGTTATACTTTAACTGTGATGAAAATAATATGTTATGGCTTGCTGTGTTGTTTAACTAATTGTTTAACTAATTTTGAAATATATTCAACTGTCTGTGCCAGTAGTTAACCAGAATGAAGTCTGCAATGTTGCTGTCAGTAAAGCGTCTTGGATTGTTAGTGGACACACATTTGCTGCAGAGGCTTGCGTCTGCTTTCCTTTTCTTTGGTTGCCAAAGCTCAGACCATCCCCATTGTCTGCTCACGCTCCGTTACTGTTTCCCACCACAGCTGGCCTATTATGGAGTCATCTCCATTGGAACTCCCCCCCAGTCCTTCAAGGTGGTCTTCGACACCGGATCCTCAAACCTGTGGGTGCCCTCTGTCTACTGCAACAGCGCCGCCTGCGGTGAGTCTGTAAAGCACATTGCCTGAGCCTGCCACATGTTCATGGAACTGGGGTGTCAGCAATGCAACAGTGCGCCAAGCAAAGCCATGTATTTGACTGTTGCTTAAATTCTGTTTTTAGGCAACCACAATACCTTCAACCCCAGCCAGTCCTCCACCTACCAGTCCACTTCCCAGACCCTCACCATCCAGTATGGAACGGGCAGCATGACTGGAATCCTGGGATACGACACTGTCACCGTGAGTGTGGAAGCACCATAACTTTAAATGTAGGGTTGTTAGTCTGTGCTGGAATGGAGTATGAAACCAGCAACAATAACGACAATAGGGATGAAACTAATGTCAGCATGAGACCGAGTGGATAATGTAAATACCATGCACTTAATTTAGGTTTCCATACAACTCTGACTTAAAATGAAGTGAAAAAAAACTTTAAAAATCTATATCTAGAATCTAGAAATAAATTATTGTTAAGGATATGTAAGATCATCATGGGTATGGCAAGACCCTATAAGAAACATTTCCTTATCATTTTATGAGGACATGCTGGTGTCCTTTGTACAGTAGGTAATAAGACTTCTTGATTTTCTTCTACAAAGGTTGCTGGCATTGTGGACACCAACCAGATCTTTGGTCTGAGTGAGACAGAAGCCAATTTCATGTACTACATGGAGGCTGATGGCATCCTGGGCTTGGCCTTCCCCTCCATTGCTGCCTCTGGGGCCACCCCTGTCTTTGACAACATGATGAGCGAGGGTCTGGTGTCCCAGGACATCTTCTCCTTCTACCTGAGCCGGTGAGGAATCCCAGTCATTGTGTTGTCAGGAATTTCTACAGAGTACAAGGGGAAAGAGAGACTGGCATCCAGACTATCTGCATTGGCACTAATATGTGTCTCTGGATACTTCCTGGCTTTGTAAAGCAAGGCATGATCTGTGATCTGGATTTAAAAACCATAATTGACTTTGCTAGCCACACCAGTCCCCTGGTAGAGTAAACTATTAATGGATACTAATTAATTCTTAATGTTATTTTGCAGTATGATTGTTACGGATGTTGGAAGAGCAACCTGTGGAATGGCAGGACGCAAAAAAGACCCAACGTGTATCGGCGAAATTGGGATTAACCCAGGCTCAGGAGATCAGACGATGCTGGGAAAAAACCTTTGCTCTCAGGCTGTGGAGGAGACGACCTGGTGCTAGACGGGTCTCAAGACATCCGAACCCTCAGGCTGAGCCCCGGTTAATCCCCATTTCGCCGCTATCCATAGGGTCTTTTTTGCTCTCCTGCCATTTCACGGCATGCCCTTCCGACATCCTTAACAATGATATTGAACAGGTACAGTATTTTTAAGATAATATGAAGCTAGACCAAATCGAGTATGGTGATATACAGAGTGACTCAGTTAACACTTACCACCTGCTTCACAATACAAACATCTCCAGGACACGGCAGCCTGAAACTGCTATGCACATGTGCTATGGTTAGTCCATGTTAAATCAATTACATGTGCTGTACAATATATGGAATTAGCATGCCTGAGGAGCTCTTTTGTCCTGTCTTTCTCCAGCAACGGCCAGACTGGCAGTATTCTGACTCTCGGTGGAGTTGACCAATCCTACTACAACGGCCAGATTAACTGGATCCCTCTTTCCTCTGAGAGCTACTGGCAGATCACCATGGATCAGTAAGCACAACTTGTCTTCTTTTGAGTTTATCATTCTCTCTACTGATTCAGACAAAACCAGCCCGTGCAGTGGCACACTCATAAATTCACCTCCCCTGTGCTGTCAGCAAGTATTGGACACACCAGGACATGCTTCTGAATTTTGAAGGAGCTTCATTCCATTGTAGCAACTTTTCAGACTAATACTTGTTTTTTTGTTTTGGCACAATCTGTAGCCAAGTGTAAGTGTTCAAAATCCTGAAGGGCACTCACCCAGTCAAATCAGGGTGTTTTTCAAGATGAGTAGAACAAGATCTCTGTGAGATACATGAGGAAATTAATCTTAGGATGATTGAGGACATAAAACAAGGCGATTACAGGAGTCTCTGACAGACTCCCTTGTCACTCTGATAAACTCTCTGGGATCCTTTCAGAAACAGACCTGATGAAAGTTTTAAGTCATTCAGCTGTTATCTAAAACTCAAGCAATCTGGACTTTCTCCTGTTTCTGACTGTTCTTATGTTCTATGTCTGATGCCAATGTCTGTGATGACTTGCAGGGTTACCATCAATGGCAATACTGTGGCCTGTGCTGGTGGCTGCCAGGCTATTGTGGACAGTGGCACCTCTCTGGTTGTTGGTCCAACTAACGACATCAGCAACATCAACGCCTGGGTTGGAGCCTCTCAGAACCAGTATGGAGAAGTAAGACCCAGTTGACTCCAACTTTGTTTTTCTCCTTTTACCAGCATGCAGTATTCCAGAAGTACTCACAGTTTAAAGCATGAGATCGTCATTCCACCTCTGTTTGTAGGTGGCCTAATTAGGCCTAATCCTGATCATTAGTTGAGTTTAACACCTTTCAAAGGTCTTTACTGGTTGATGATTTAAAAAGGCACTAAAACCCTGGTGAATTCTGGACAGGACTTGTGCACCTTGGGTTGAGACACTTCTACTTCACAGCAAATTGCTTTTGTGTGTCTGATGGTGGGGCTGCTTTTTGGCGTTTGGCGGGATTGAGTCTGGATTTTTGTTTTTCCAGGCTGTTGTGAGCTGTTCCAACATTGGAAGCATGCCCAAGGTGACCTTCACCATCAATGGATATGACTTCACCCTGCCCGCCTCTGCCTATGTTTTCCAGGTTCGTAAGTGTTTGATTTGAATGATCCCATATCTAACATATATTACTACATATTGTAACTCCACTGACATACATGTGAGGCTCATACAAATATAACAAATAATACAATAATACAATACAACTGCAATACAATACCATAATACAAAACAAGTTTTGAGAAACATCACTCAATTAGGGGTCTTCCAGTACCATAAAGGATGCCATCGATTACCAGTTCTGATCACTTTGTTAGATTTAATTTTGCTCTGAAAGGAAAAGGCACCTCCCCAGGTCTGGATAGAAAAAGTTAGAATAAAAAGTGTCAACATTGTGCTTTTTACATTAAAGCTCCGTACTTAACAAATGTAGCCTTTGTTGCACGTTGAATGACCTTGCCTTTGTAGTGGCAGACCAAGTCAATTTACAATCAATTACAGTGCCAAGGTATTTCCCACCACCCTTTGTGTAAAGACCTCCTTCAAGCCATGACCTCTGTCTTTGTTCTCTCCCTTCAGAGAAGCAGCGGCTGCTCTACTGGATTTGGCAATGGTGGAAACGACCAGCTGTGGATCCTGGGTGATGTGTTCATGAGGGAGTACTACTCCGTCTTTGACAGGGCCAACAACAGAGTGGGTCTGGCCCAGGCTGTCTAGTCTGGCCATGCTGCAGCATGTCCGCTCTCCAACACTCACAGTGAGCAGCAATGAGGCTGCTGTAGAGCCCAGCCTTGGGTCAAAACACCATCAGAAAAGCTCCCTATTTGTCAATACTGTATGTATAGGATGAGACAACTTAAATGCATCTTTATTTGTAATCATAAAACTGCAAAATATAAACTGATTCTAGCAATAAAAAGTGTCTCAGTTTCTTTTTTCCCTTGGGCAGACCTCAGGAACAATTCACCTTCCTTTCTTCAGGGTTGTGCCCAGGCTGATAAACCCCAGTGCTCAGAAAGCAAAGTGTGATGCTGTTTCACCTCGAGTGCATTGTGTTGGCTGCAAGAATTAAACACACAAATTGAATGTACAGTAGCTCAAAAATTGGACTATATAAAACAGACTCTTTCTTTTACCAGTGAGACCAGGGGGTTTCTGGGGTTGGGTGAAAGCCCATGAGGCAGTTGGGTTTGGCTTGGTAATAATAAATAAATAATTTATTTAATTTGTTGAATTATTTAATTCTAAATAACAAAATCAGAATTTCATGACACACTGTTTTTGTTTTATTACTTTATCAACTACTATAACATATTTGTGAGAATTCAACACAATGAGTGTATTTTGTCAATGATGGAAAACAGAAACGCAACATTTTCTGGAATGAGAACACTGTAGTTATAGCTTATGTACTTTCACCAAAAGTTGACAATTTGTTTTAAGCCCTCTGACCAGCAATACAGCTTGTGCAGTGAGGCATTGCAACTTGCCATTCACATGAAAGCTTGTTAGGTGCACTTTTACCCAACGAGGTCCAGGTGGAACAATGCCTGATCAGGTCACCTTTTAAAAGGCCTTAAATCAAAGCTTAGGTCACTACAAGAAAAAGGCCACACTTAGTCAGTTTTCTGTGCATTCCATAATGCCTCAAATGTCACTAGAAGCAAGGTAGAGGGCCATTGGCATGCTGCAGGCAGGAATGTCATGTGCCAGCATTGCCAGACACTATGGAGTAAGCCGATCCACTGTGTCCTGACTGGAGAGAAGGTTTCAGCAGACCAGCAGGACAGATGACCGACTAAGATCCGGTCGCCCTCGAGTGACCACACCAGAGCAGGACCGACACATCAGACAGGTCAGAAGCCCTCTGCTCACACCTCCTAGACGTCACACTCGACTGGCTTGGCCAGACAGAGGCTGCAATGGACTTGTCAGCAGTGGCATCAGGTCCTCTTCACGGATGAGTCACTCTTCAGTCTGTTCCACGCAGATGGGAGGGCCAGAGTGTGGAGGAGGAGGTGTTGGGTTTCTTTTTTCCATCAGTATATTTATCTATTATGTTTTGCTGCTTTGTACCCTGCAAAAGACAACAGTATGTGACAAACTAGCTAAATTCTCATCAGCTAAACTGTCTATATGATCGTTGTTTTCTCTAGGATTTCCAAAAAATATTCCACAACTCTCTTTCTCAAACTACATATCTTTCCGTGTGGAAAAATCAAAACTACTAAGACTATGGATTTGATATATTCCCATGTTCTTTAGTTTCTTTAGTTCATCATTTAGCTTCTTAAATGAGTAAGCCTCGTTTCATGAATTATTTCTCCGAATGTGGAATTCAGTGGCACTCTGTCTTTTAAGGAACACGTTTCAGATTTTGAATTATTCGCTGACAGACGTGATTCAGTAGTACAGTTTTGTTCAGTGTATTAGTGAATCGAATGAACAAATCTTTTTATATGATAACTGAACTGAATAAAATCACTTTCATTCACTAGAGGAACTGAACTGTCCTGCTCTGGTTATGGATGATCCAAAGCCTTGGGGTTCTACTGCCACTATTCTTGTTCTTCAAGGGTTTTGAGTGCCACAAAAGTGACACAATTTGCAGGAGCCATATTCAACTGCGCTACCTAGTGAGTTAGAAAAACTCTTCTGCCTACATAGAATGACAGGCCTCCTAGCACCACCAGCGCAGTCACAGACCATCTTACCACAGGTAACGCTACTTGGTCTGCCCAGCAGTTTCTACTTTAGTGTCTTAAAGACCTCTTGCAAAACTGTAATCCAAGCCACTGCCTTCCCTTTCTACCTTTTCCATGGGTAGCCATTCAGCACTGCAAGGCATGCAAGCATGGAAAATTCCTACAAACCCCCAAAATTAGCATAATTGGCTCAAAGTCCCAGGAGGCAGCCAATCTCTCACTTCCGGCAGCTTCTCTGAATTAGTCTCAATCCCAGATATCTTGTCTCTCGACAAAAGAGCGGACATTTTCTGGTCCTGATGAGTTCAGGCCATACACCTGGACAATCACAAATGCCTAACCCAGATGTTATAAATAAGCCTCAGATATAGGTGAGGACACAATCAGATACTGTATATCCACACCAACTCACTGGTCAATGGTCTGAGACAGAGCTGATTCGGACTGCAGGAGCATTGTACATAGTGAGAAAGGAATCTATTCCAACTCACATAGCTATAAATTGTATAAATTGCCTTCTCCCTTAGTTGTTTGCTAAATACCAATTCCAGTAACTACTGGCCAGAACTACTGTACGAGTCCTTGATGTTTAGCATCCTTATGGATCAACACATTCATCTATGCATCTGACACAACACTGGTTGCTCCAGTAGCTCCACTCCACTGGGAAAAGTCTTGCACTCATGCATGCACAACCATATCCCTGTCTTTAGGGATCTGATCTTTCAATTCCAGAAGCCCATGCAAAACCTACATGATCCATTCTTCTTTTTTAGCAGCACAACTGCCCATAAGGTACAAACGTGTATAAACCCTTTCTCCAACATTCCATGTATCAGTTGATGCAGGGATATGGTGAAGCAAGGTCTTCTACCATCCAAGGGCCTCCTCATGGGCAGCAAGCACCTCTTGTCATGTATATAGAAGGGCCTCCAGTAGTCCCTGTTGACCCACCATCAGCTTTGAAGGAAGAAGGCAACATTTTTCCTCCTCCAGATTAGGAGGACAGCCCAACCACCTCCACCACGGAGACATCGCCTGGAGAAAAACATCTGAATCACCATAAACATGATCTTCACTAGTTCTACTCACTAAATGGAGTTTATATAACGAAAGTTCGGGAGGGATGACAACAACCACGCTCAATTGTTCCTAGCCATCAGTAATTAGCAATCACTCCCTTCATCCTTCCTCCACCAAAAGCTATAAAAACCAGTGCAATATCTCTCCCTCGCATGTGACTTTTGTATCCCACCTCCACCCCAACTCTGCAGCGACCCCTTGGTTACCCTGCGTGGGGGTCCTGGCCTCCTCGTCCTATGGCCAGGAGGTCGCCTTTGATGTTGGGTGTTGTCATTCCTAGTGAATGCCAAAGGTCTCTGCAAAGGATGTGAATGGAGTTTCTGTAGACAAACAGGGTCCCTTCATCCCTTGGACAATCCTATACAGTAGATCTGGTCATCTGCTGCTGCATTGTTTTTTTTCCAGCAGCCTCACTGACTTGGCAATATGATGTGGAAATGAGAAAAGATCTAGTAAAAATGGTTTGTAACTGAATGTTAAACTGATTTTAAACATTCAAAATGTCTCTTGTTGCTCTTGTCATTTGTTCAAAGGATATTTGAACCAGGTGTGAGCCTGGTCAGTACCTGGATGGGAGACCTCCTGGGGAAAACTAAGGTTGCTGCTGGAAGAGGTGTTAGTGGGGCCAGCAGGGGGCGCTCACCCTGCGGTCTGTGTGGGTCCTGATGCCCCAGTATAGACGGGACACTATACTGTAAACAGGTGCTGTCCTTCGGATGAGACGTAAAACCGAGGTCCTGACTCTCTGTGGTCATTAAAAATCCCAGGGCGTTTCTCAAAAAGAGTAGGGGTGTAACCCCGGCGTCCTAGGGTCCAATTTCCCATTGGCCCATACCAATCATGGCCTCCTAATAATCCCCATCTATGAATTGGCTTCATTACTCTGCTCTCCTCTGCACTGATATCTGATGTGTGGTGAGTGTTCTGGCACACTATGGCTGCAGTCGCATCATCCAGGTGGGGCTGCACATTGGTGGTGGTGGAGGGGAGTCCCCATTACCTGTAAAGTGCTTTGAGTGGAGTGTCCAGAAAAGTGTTATATAAGTGTAAGCAATTATTAATTATTATTATTATTATATTATGTACATGTGATACATATTTCATAGTGTAACATTAAAACACTCGTAAAACGTTGTAGATGTGTGAAAACCCATCAGTCTCAGAGCCTGTGAGTGCAATAACTATTGAATTAATTCTGTACTATTACTGCTAAGTGTTAACAGTATTAGGAACACCATCAAGAAGGCAAAAACCATTACTAAGCGTTTTATTCAGATTGTATGCCCTCTGATTGCAGGTTTATAAACAATGACTGCACCAGCACCTTACATTAGCAGTTTATAATTCAGTTATGATTACCTTGGTGGAAATTTGCTATGTTTAAACATTAGATTGTGCTCAAGTTACAGGTACATTGTATTTACATAAAACTGTGCAGGGTTGGATGTATATCTTATCCAATTCAAAACATTTCACCTTTGTAACTTTGGCTTGTGGCTGGAATAGTGCCACACAGTCTTTGCTGACATTGTTATGCAACAAGGCTTTTTATTTTCATGGCTCAAGAAAGAAAACAATATTTAAGGCCTTTTTAGTATTATTAATAATCTACAAAAACAGTAATAGAAAGTTTTTAGGAATTTTCTGTAGACTTGCAATTATATTTTAATGAGCTGTGCAAACATCTAATACCTGGAATTAAAGGTCAGCTGAATACCCTTGCACTCCTTATCCCCAAAGTTGTTTCCTAAACATTTGCTTTGGATAAAGTTTATTTTTCTGTTACTTATCTTTTTCCTTTATGGAAGCTTTTTGGGTTTTCTTATCATGGTGATAAAGTAATGGAGGGTCCTATTGTGAACCTCAGGTATAAAAGGGTCTGTCTCACCCCAGCAGGACACTTTCAGCCTTGGAGTCCAGCGGGAGACTGTTCTGAACTGCAGCACCATGATGAAGTGGGCCGTTGTCCTCTGTGCCCTGGTGGCTCTCTCCGAGTGCCTGCACAAGTGAGTTTTTCCTTTTGCAACATTTAAAACTATTCAGCTTTCTCTCTAATTATGTGTGCTGTCTAGTCTTATCAGTTATTTTAATGCTGCTGTGAAGTATAACAGCTGAAGCAATAACCTGCATAACGTGAGATGAAATGAGTAAGATATTGCACATGCTATTAAGTAGAACGACATTCTTTGGAAAACAGCAAATAAGGCAGAATAAATAAGGAAATGCAAAATACAATGCAAAAAATGAATCAAAAGGAAAAAAAAGGGTTGCACATAATAATTAATCTTAAAAATAACTGATTACTCCATTCAGAAAATTTGCATCATGAAAATGATTTAGTTGGCTTGTTCTTGTACTTCAAATGGTTCTCTGTAATAAATCCAGTGTACTTTTAAGAAAACCATAGTCTTGTCTATATTCAGCCATGTAAATTGGACGTATGAAGCTGCAGACTTCAAACTATTGTCCCTATTGGCTGAAATCTCCCCTGATGTACTGTAAGTCTAGTCCCTTTCTAAAGTGTACTGAAAATTAGATGCTATGAATTAAACAGTTAAAAATAAGTATAGAACTTATTAAACACAGAATGATTGATTTATTACTTATTTTATTGAAAGGCAGGGTAGAATTTGAACATAGCTGTTCTTTAGTGATGCACATCTGCAAATCACACTCTGCATGTTTAGGTGTCAATTGGAAACTGGTGAAACAGATTCCAAGAGTGCATCACAGATATTGTCAATTCTACATCCCATTATCAAACTACAGTATACATAACCTCAGCCTGCTGAAAAACATGAACAGAAGCTACATTTTGTCTTACCTTTAACACACCATAGGCCATTAGTACAACCTGACTCAAGGAAATGAGGCCACTTTTATTGCTATCTCTGTTCACCTACAGTACTTTACCTAAAGTGATCAGTCTTATTCTGACACATTAGAACTTGAGCATTTGAAATGTATTTAATATGGGACTGTAGTAGTCCCCAGCAGCAAGTGCTTGGTCAGTTGTCCATTAGTGCATGTCAGGCATATAAAGGGGGAATATACATTTACTTGAATGGAGTAAGCTTACATGATATTTAATTAGCATGTTTCTGTCCCCCGGAATTTATGATGCTACGGCATGATATCTATTTAGATCATGTCTGACTCATAAGGTCATCTGTTTTCAGGATCCCCTTGATTAAAGGGAAATCTGCAAGGCAGGCTCTGGAAGAGAAAGGCCTGTGGGAGGAGTACAGGAAGAGACACCCCTACAACCCCGGTGCCAAGTTTAACCCTGATTTTGCCACAGTAGCAAATGAGCCCATGACCAACGATGCTGATGTAAGTACGTCCACTTTATAGTTGTGTTACAGCAGAGATCAGTCTGGTTGATATCTGATGAAAGAGAAATGGACTGTTCTATACCTCATGGGGGTGTTCTGTGTGTGGAGACACTACTGCAACAACAAACACTACGTTTATATGTATAATCAAAATGTTTGCCAAGTACAGGAACAGACTACATTAGAAATAGTATAATGTATGAAAGTCCTGTAAGTAAAGGTTATTTCTTTCTTACCATTTCAGTGCTGCAGCCACAAATGTCCTTAACATGTTTAATGTTTGCTTTTGGTTCAAATGGACCGTGATGATAAATGAAACCACTACTATTTGATCATTAATAGTGTCAACTATAGCCACATTTATTCTCTATGATTACAAAGTATTTTATTTTGAATGGATCAGGATTACTTTAAAGTGTACCCACACAACTCGAGCTTTTCTGCTCATTTTAAGTGACGATATTGTAACGCATACGGCCTCCATTGCTTGCGAGAGCTGAGCTGGCTTACCAGAGCGGTGACGTCACCGGCCTTCCCTGTGAATAGCAGGGACCGCAGCCACCGGGCTGGGGGGAGATCTCTCTTTAGCTCAAGAGGCTGGGTCCCTGTTGAGTGACACCGGAGGCCTGGGTTTGAGTCCCCGACGGTGGGGGTCCAACCTGATGCAGCGGCGGCGAGGGTGCCCACGTGAACCCCGTAGCATTACAATATTAACATCAGCACTAACATCTCTCAAACCTGTGTGTGCGCTCCTTTGTGTCTCCAGCTCTCCTACTATGGGGTTATCTCCATTGGAACTCCCCCCCAGTCCTTCAATGTCCTCTTCGACACTGGATCCTCCAACCTGTGGGTGCCCTCTGTCTACTGCAATAGCGAAGCCTGCAGTGAGTATGCAAAACAGAAATGGATGAATATGCCCTCAGTTTATATTCTCATTGTTGCTCTCTTCTGCATATGCAAACCCTAACCCATTCTGCATTCCACCCACCCCTAACTATTAAACCATTTCCAAACTTGTACCACAAAGCATTAGTTCTATTGTCTGATGTGTGAAAATATAGGTGCTTTAACACAGCAAGAGGTGTAATATCTACAGCAGCTTACTCCTCAATAGAATGAACCCATTTGAGCTTTAAAGTGAAACAAACAAGTTGCAGCTGCCAAAATTACAAATGCCAGATGTATCTGAAAAGTATAAAAAGGAAAGATGACTTTCTTATCATTGTACGGTTGAGAAGTTAAATGCCTTTGGATGGCATCAGCGAAAGCCAACATTTTTGATCATTGCCTAAATTCCCTTTGCAGCCAACCACAATACCTTCAACCCCAGCCAGTCCTCCACCTACCAGTCCACTTCCCAGACCCTCACCATCCAGTACGGAACGGGCAGCATGACTGGAATCCTGGGATATGACACTGTCACCGTGAGTGTGGAAGCACAGAACACACAGAGATCTGGCATGACAGAACCAGAAAACAACCTCAGACTACTACATGAGAAACAGGCTGCCTGTAGAAGTTAAATTAATACTTAATGAAGACTGGGCATAAAGTAATGAATAATTTGTGATTTACAAATTTTAAGAAATCTTGCTTTCTGCTAACTTATGATTTGTCTCCTACAAGGTTGCTGGCATTAGTGTCTCAAACCAGATTTTTGGTCTGAGCGAGACTGAAGCAAGCTTCCAGTACTACATGCCTTTTGATGGCATCCTGGGTCTGGCCTTCCCCTCAATCGCAGCCTCTGGTGCCACCCCTGTCTTCGACAACATGATGAGCCAGGGCCTGGTTTCCCAGGATGTCTTCTCCATCTACCTGAGCCCGTGAGTGATGGCTCCTTTGCAGTATGCAACATGTGGATATAGCATATTCGTGTGTAACATAGCAGTGTCAAAACTGGGACAGGCCACCAGAGGGTGGCATAAAGACACTCCAGGAAAAGGGAGGAAATGAATCACCTGTTTGGAAGTTGGTTCTCAAGTATTCAGAGAATAGTTGGAGGTTGCCTGCTCAGGTTTTGTCACAGATGTTGGAAAGGGCGAAACGTGGAATGGCAGGAGAGCATAAAAGCCCTATGCGTAGAGGTTAGACGGGGGTTAGCCCGGGCTCAGCTGTTCAGGAAATGCCGTATAGAAACCTATATCCTCAGGTAGCGGACGTGGGGCTTGGCGGGTCTCAGGACATTTGAACGTCAATGCTGAACGAAGGCAAATGAAAGACCCAGAAATATACAGTATAGCCCCAGAGAGATAGACACCAGAAGGACAGCAAAGCACCTGAAACATGAGACAGGACAGAGGAGGAGACAGGTTTGGACTAGATCTTAGATCTCAGTCACTCATGACAATGATAAACTCAGTCTCACAGTGAGACATCTTGTTATTAAAGAAAGGTTTGGAGCTTGAGTGAGTAAATAACTTAAAGGCAGTCTGTTGCCTTGTCCGGGGCAGTAAAACCACTTTTTAGTGTTTTCGGCCCAGGAAAATGGATCAACCTTTCGGTTAGGATTACAAAAAAAGGAAAGAGAAAGGCGTGCAAGTGATTGATCACATTTGGGCTGGAAAGGCTATTTCAGACAGGGTTGGTCCAGCCACTGCCAAATTCCCGTTAAAAAAGGATGTGTGTGTGCAGCTCCTCCACACTGTGCTATTCCACTAGGGGGATCTGTCTTACAGAGTACGGTATAGACAGGAAATTCAATGCAGGAAGCAAATAAGGACAGCAAAAGAAATAAGGACATGCAAATGCAGAAGAGATCTGATGTTTTAAGTTATGTTGCATATAGGATAGGATTCATATTAACTACTCATGTTCCTTTAATCTAGAACATAATTTATTTTTAAGTGGATCATATATTCTCCTCATCTCTTCTTCCTTGTCCAGCAATGGCGAGACTGGCAGTGTTCTGACTCTCGGTGGAATCGACCAATCCTACTACACTGGCCAGATCACCTGGATCCCTCTGTCCTCAGAGACGTACTGGCAGATCACCATGGACCAGTGAGTAAAGATCGTCTCTTTGGGTATTCGCTTTTCTCTTCAGCACAAGGACTGTAAACAGTATCTCACAGCTCTAGATTAGTCTAAACCCCTCCAACATCTCAATGGACTGTTGGAGTGCAAAGACACTAGGAATGGATTTGAGAGAAAGACTACAAAATTGGAAAAGAATGTGTGCAAAAAAACAGTAGCTGCAACTAGAACAGGACTAAATGTCCTTAAATTCAATCTTTTCCAAAGGATGCCTTTAACTTTTTAAAGTTTAATTCCATAGCAGCAAGCTCCTTCTGTAGGGTGTGCTATACCTTGTGATGCTCTGACTCCGTACCTGTCTGAAACGCCAGGCCTTGTTTTCGGTTACAGGATTAGCATCAATGGCCAGGCTGTTGCGTGTGCTGGGGGATGCCAAGCCATCGTGGACAGTGGCACTTCTCAGCTTGTTGGCCCATCTGGTGGAATCAGCAACATCAACGCTTACATTGGAGTAAGGAATTCTTCTCAGGGGTCACCTCACACTGTAACTCTCTAATGTCATTAGAAGAGCACTGTCAGAGCATGTGAACTCTCAAAATCAATCATCCTTCACGTCTTTCCTTTCACTGGCCTGCAACATGTTTCTGTAGTGGTTACACCTCACTTAATTTTGCTACAACAGGGTGAATCTTTTCTTTTTTTGTTTGACATTTTTCTCTGTTGGAGAACAGCAAGTCAGAAAGCAGAAGAAACCCATTCATGATTTCTTACTTGGGTCACGTGTTCCACAACATGGCTGTAAGAATGACGCTTTAAAAGTCACTTTCCTCAAGGCTTGCAGAAGAGCCCATGGTTTCACTTCCCATAAATATCTCATAAACCTAAACTGTGTTGTGCCAGTTTCCAAGTCACAACCAAAAACAGCCTATGTGTGATTCAGAATCACATGAACTAATTAAATTAGTGAATGAAAATGTAAGTAGCAATACCCTCCCAGATTTGATGCATGTGTTTTTCTGGTAAGCTCCTTGCACAGGAAAGAAGTGTTTTTGTTTGCCATCAGTCCACTGAGTAACCTGTAACCCTTTTCTTAGTGTGGTTGCATCCTAGCTGTTCTTGGGATGTTTCTGGGTTTTCACCGTTTGCACTACTTCATTTAGGGGAGGATGTAACTTGTGGGATCCTATCTTTGCTCAGGATGTTTCCAGCTGCAACATCGGAAACCTGCCTGATGTCACGTTCACTCTCAATGGGTATGACTTCACCCTGACCCCCTCTGCCTATGTGTCGCAGGTGAGTGGCCATTTACAAAAGGACAGCCAAACGAACCATTACTCAGAATGTTATGTTCTTTTTGTCCACTCCAACAAAAAGTAAAACCTTTTCAGTTCTCCAATTAAGAGCCTAAATCTAATTCTTCATTGCAGAAATGTCTTTCATACATACCGATTTTCTAACATTTTATATTTATTGGGCTGAAGAAAGATTAATGTGGTAGTATGCTTTGACCATGAAGGGGCCAGCACCGAGGCCCTTAATTTTTTCTGAATGTAACAAAAATTATTAATTTCCCTATCTGTATTTATCATTGTTAACCATAATTATTTTAAAGATTGTTGCTGCGGTTACAGCAAACCACACACAGTACATCTCCATTCTGCTGTAAAGGATATTGTCAGTTCTTTCAACAACTGCTGCAACATTTCGGAACCAAAATGCATGACTAACAGAGAAGTAAACAGCTTTTGGGGTAAATGTTCACGGACACCCGAAGAGAAAAGCAGCAGCCTTGTGTTGTAAAGAGCTGTTTTTTGTTACTTTAACTGGGAATCAGAGTCTGCCAAAGGTACGTTTAAAGGGGTAAACATTGCATATACACTCAATAAACAATGAAGATGCAGTTCTGTCCAAGGACTAAATGAAAAACAAGACCTTTTCCTAGCCTGAGGTCCTAACTTTTATTGATCAGTATTTTGACAACTAGGCCTTGCTATTCTGATAGATTATTGAGAGAGAACATAACTTTTCAACAATACTCCCAGTTGGAATGAAAGGGGGTTCTTGTGGTTTTCCCAGTTGAATACAATACTGTCTCCCTCTATCACCACAGACAAGCAACGGCTGCCAGTCTGGCTTCGCCAGTGGTGGATTTGGCCAGTGGATTCTGGGTGATGTCTTCATCAGGCAGTACTACGCCATCTTTGACAGAGGCAACAACATGGTGGGCCTGGCCCAGGCTGCCTAGTCTCACAGTTTCCTGTGGGAGAGCAGCATCACAGCACGGCCAACTGCCTGCACTCCCCGTGAACGTCACCGCAGCTCTCCTTGTGCTGTCTGTCTTCTGTAGATGCTTCCAACAATCATTGCTGTCACAGGATAGGCCTGGAGATCTTCAAGCCATAATGGGAGACAGAAAAAAATGCTTTTTGAATGTGTATCTCTGATTGTAAATAATAAAGAGAAATAAGCATCAAATAATGCCTGTCCAAAAATGATTTTGTCCAGTTGTTGTGTGTGCTTTTAGTCATTGGCATTGGTCTGCATTTAATCCTTTAATCCATTTAATGCAATTAACATTCTGTTGTAGGCCTCCTCTTCGTCTCAGTAATAATGGTTATATACTGCATTCATTCATTGTTTTAGTCTGAGCTCCAGAAAGACTAGTGGTCTTTTTATAGTTTCAGGATAACTGTAAAACTTTAAGAGATTAAGAGAAACTTTAAGATTTAAAGTGATGGCTTTTCTCTTTGAAGCTGTTTACCCTATCAGCCAATAGAAGGCTATTATTAATAACCCTATCTGGTATTTTATATAGTACCTTCATATAAATATGTTATATAGTACCTTTTTATAGTACCTTTTATATAGTATCTCAAAGTGATATACAATAATACAAAAAGTTAACAAGGAGAAAAAGTTACAAAATTTGCAAAATTAAAAATAAGGATTTGGAATACAGAAGCAGATGTAAGGGGCAGACACAGGCCTGATTAAGTAAAAGCCTTTCTGAAGAATAAGTTTTTGAGTCTGGATTTGAAAGCTCTCAGGGAAGGTGACTCTCTGATATCCTTAGGGATAGAATTCCAGACATTTGGGGCATAGTAAGAGAAGGCCCTGTCACCCATACTATGTCAAAAAGCTTGGGAGGTGAACAGGAGACCAGAGTCAGATGAACAAGGGTTGTGAGGATGATTGTACCTCAGACAAGATATCAAAAGCACCACTGAGGTCTAGGAGAATAAGGATAGAATTGGAATCAGATGCCATAAGAAAATTGTTAGTGACTTAATCAGAGCAGTTTCTGTGCTGCGTAATTGTTTAAAGTCATATTGGAAGGGTTCAGTGAGGTTATTTGTAGTGAATTGCAACAGCATGTTTCAAATTTTAGCAAGAAAGGGTAAGTTGGATATAGGACAAAAATTGTTTAAGTTATCCAGAGCCATATTTGTTTTGTTTTAAAGGCCGTAGGTGCCACTGCAGTTCGCAAGGGCTAGATTATTATCTTGAGAACAACAGGGCAGAGAGAAGAAAAACAGGACTGAGATTAAACAGTAGAAATGGGATCTAATAAACATTTGGTGGATTTCACACATGGTACCAGTTTTCTAAGGCATACAGCATCAAGTTGAGAAAGACTAGAGAAAAGGGAACTAGCAAACCTTGACCAGCAGGGAGGACATGTGGTGTGGAGACAATATGATGCTGGATATTGTCAATCTTAGAAGTAAAAACCTCTAACAATGTGGCTGGTAATGTGGTGGGGCAGTTTAGTAGTCTATTGACGGTGGAGAACAGGTATCTAGGATTGGTATGGTTGGTCTTAATTACATGGAAGAAGTAGCTGGATGTAACAGACTCCTTCCAAGACTGAAGAGATACATTCAGACCAAAAAGACACCACCTATGTACTAGTTTGTGGGACACTGCCTTTACTGAGCATAACTACAGTACCATAGGGCAGATCAACTAAAGGAGATTCTTTGAGTTTCAAGAGGTGCTAGGCTGTCAAGAGTAGTTAAAAGAGAACTGTTAAAAACTTGTACCTTGTTTTCCAGAGTATCAGAGTTGGAAAAGCAAGACAAGACAGGGCAGTCAGTAAAACTAGACTGGTCAACTTTTTACCAATTGCAAAAACTATTAGAGCATGAAGGTGAAGAGTGTGAGACAGGAAATCCTAAATCAAAAAGAACAGCTAGGTCACCATAAAGGCCTAGTTCAAGGTACGTGTGACCTTCGTGTGACCTTTGTTGTGAGTTATACTGAGCTGAATGAGACTAAAGTATTCCATCAAAGTTAGAAAACCTTTAGATAAACTGGTAGGCAGTGAATCAACATGGATATTACAACCTCCAAGATCAAGGAACATATTAAATCTGAAGATTAACAGAGAAAGCAAATCCACAAACTCACATTAAAAGACCCCATGGGGGGTCTGTAAACTGTAACAATGATAGAAGAGTGGGGACATTTGAAAAAAGACCCTAAGAAAAATGAAAACCTATGGCTCACCTAACACTGTTTTCTGCATGTCATTCCATTTGTACACATTGCCCCGGGATCGGTACTGGGTTGTGCTGGGCAACTGTAACTGGCAGGTTTGCAGGGACGTTCATTGGAGGAAACTAGGTCTGAGGCTGCCTTTCCTTTATGGTTGGGACACCAGCCATGTGTCTAGTCTATTCATCTGTAGGCCCGTAGAAACCTTAAATTTACAGTAATTGGAAATGCCCTTACTGACAGTTTAAATAATAAGAAGAATTATTTGTATGAGTCGGCCAGTCTCAATGATTGTCACCAAATTATACCATGATTGCTGATGAATACAATAGAATCGTGTTTAATATTTCTTTATTTTATTGTGGTATACAACAAAATGTGGTTTCGACCTCTACTAGGACTGTACATTGTTTGTTTTCTTTATCTTAATAAGGACTATTAATACTTTTTCACACTGATGCAAATACCAAATATTTAGGAAGGGATTTCCAAGTATCAGTGAATTAATCTCAATGATTATGATAAAGGTATTACTACCATAAGAGTTCCACTGATTACAGTGATTTGAGAAAGTGAAGCAGCTTTAAACTCTAAGATAATTTTGGATAAACCCCAGTGGCCTGAAGATAAAGCGTGCTACTGTTTATCCAGTGATCTCAGTAATTCCTCCATGATGTCACAGACCGGCAGGCTGGTACGGTACTGTAATGCTGTGGTTCCTCACTTTTAATTTAGTTATCGTTAATGACTAAGAATAATGAATAAGAGCAGTTTCCTGCAGGTACTGCTTTTGTCTTCCAAGAACTCAAACCCTTTTAGAATATTTGCATATTTGTTTGAAATTAAGGCTAAGAAACATGGAAAGTTAACTAAGGATGATGAAGGCAATGGAAGGTAACCACCATATCAACAAGAAAGACGTTGATACCAATAAAGAGCAGATCCTAAACCACAGTATTTTCATGCTCGGCACCGTCCATGTCTTAAGATACAAAGCAGACAATTATTTCATGTTATGATGCATGGTCATGAGGTTACAGACTGTTAGGTTCTTCTAACCTTGAATCCTTGATTCTTCATTTCTGTTATAGTAGCTGTCTTGGGTATAAATCATGGTGATGGAAATTACATGAATGTTTCCAATCAAGACATCAGTTCCTAGTTCATCCAAAGAAATCTAAAGTCTCTCTATGTCCTCGGTGCATCTTACTATGATATTTGAATGCATAAATGTCTTTCAGAATGTCTTTAACATCAATAACTTGGAGGCAAGGCTGATCTAAGTTTGATCTGTTATTTTGCACGCTTTCACATTGACATTATGAGAAAGGACACCCATCTTTACCATTCCACTGCTTATCACTTTCTGTTAAGAAGACTTGTTGGGTTTTCTTATCGTGGTGATAAAGTAATGGAGGGTCCTATTGTGACCCTCAGGTATAAAAGGGTCTGTCTCACCCCAGCAGGACACTCTCAGCCTTGGAGTCCAGCGGGAGACTGTTCTGAACTGCAGCACCATGATGAAGTGGGCCGTTGTCCTCTGTGCCCTGGTGGCTCTCTCCGAGTGTATGCAGAAGTGAGTTCCTTCTATATATTTATTATTAATTTCTTTATAATGCAGAATTTTAGTGCAGAATACCTTGATTTCTGGTGAACATGTGGTCTAGGTTATGCATTACTTCAATGCATTGTCTGAGAATGTAAGGTGCACGAGACTCTATTTCTTAAAAAATAATGTAGGGGAAAGTGGAAACTATTGGGAAGTGGAATTAAAGCCGAGAGAAGGGGTCACTCTTTTAGGTATTACTAAGACATGAGTTTAACTGATCAGGAGCAAGCGATCCAACCAATGCTGTCAAAGCTGTTACCCTGGTTTCTTTGGAGATACCAAAGAATCAATTGATAGATCACTGACCTGTGAGAAATAAAAAGGCTTAGAACAGCAGAATAGATTAAAAATAGTTCAGGTGGGGTAGCTGCGTCAGCATGCGCAGGCTGCAAAAGAACAAGTAATAGGTTTATTCCATGCTGAAAAGAGAAAAAAGGAAGAAGGAGAAAAGAAAAGGAGAGAAAACAGGAAGAAAACATCGCTGCTTACACCCAAAGAAGGCTCCACAGCCAAAGCGTCGTGTTTCCTTTCTTCTCTTTTCAGCATGGAATAAACCTTTTGTTCCTTTGTAGATAAAAACCAATTGGTGTCATCAGGAGCATATTTTACAGTGATGGTTAAAGTAACAAAATAATAGTGAAAGATCTCAAGTGTCTCTGCAATTTGAAGCCAAAAACGTACTTTTTGATATTTCTTAAGCTTTGTCATGCAAATAAAGCATATCAAATTAAACCATTATGGCTTTCCCCAAAACACACAATAAAAACATATATTTGCTCAAAAGCAAAAATAAATTTTGTGCCAAGTTAGGACTGTAAGTAGTTAATAAACTATTGATATCTGCCCTGACGTATTTCTTTCAAAGTCCCAAGTAAAGGTCTTCTAAAAGTCAGGCGTTATGAACTAAGATATCAAGTAGACGTACTCTAGTTGTTTACTTTACCTGTTGGATCCAGGATCCCTTTGATTAAAGGGAAATCTGCAAGACAGGCTCTGGAAGAGAAAGGCCTGTGGGAGGAGTACAGGAAGAGACACCCCTACAACCCAAGTGCCAAGTTTAACCCTGATTTTGCCACAGTAGCAAATGAGCCCATGACCAACGATGCTGATGTAAGTGTAAATCCTTCCCTGCTGTCTTGTCAGGATAAGCTGATAGTGGTTTATGCATGCCACAGATTCATTTTAAAAACATAAGGTAAGGGTGTTTTGTATAATACCTGCCTGTGAAAGCAAACTCTGATGTCTAGAATGTATAACATCTAATTAGATATGATTTATTTGATTGATGCATTATTTTCAAGGTTCCTTCTAATACTGGCAATAAGATAAAATAGAAGGCATAACAAAATACACGTTAAAATCATTCCAATGTCACTCTGTGTGACACCTCTTCAGACTATGGGCTATGCTTTTCTTTGGTGCCAGATCAATTTATGCTGTCATTCCTCAAGCAGTCTAGAGCCAAAGATGTTGTAAGATCGTCAACTCTTTTAATGTCATCTTCTTTTAACTTGTTTGAGTATTGTACTGTGTCTCCAGAACTGACAATCCATTAATTAGCAACAACACAATCTCTCTATGGTTGCAGCTCGTCTACACTGGGATCATCTCCATTGGAAATCCCCCCCAGTCCTTCAAGGTGCAGTTTGACACCGGCTCTGCCAACCTGTGGGTGCCCTCGGTCTACTGCAGCAGCGCCGCCTGCGGTGAGTGAGGGAAAGAAGGCTGAATCCAGCATGGAAAACTTCTTTCTTGGTCGTGTTTCCAATTAGGAGACTGTGAAATACAATAAATCTATTCCCTTTCACTTCAAATCATTCCTGGATGGGAATAGCACCACTAGGCATATTTCCTTCAAGTGTCTGGAAATATTAATCATGCCAGTTTGTAATGGCTAAAGCTTATATCCCTTCTTTTTTTTCCTTGGACGAAGTAACTGTGAGCTTCTCGTGTACAATTTTGAAGCTCACAAGATGGCTGTCATATCTTCAGATGCAAGTGTCATCCTAATAGTAACATCATGTCAAATAAGAACACAACAAATCACTGACGTGCCTAACTTCCATTGCCAGGGAACCACGACAGATTCAACCCTGCTCGGTCTTCCACCTTCCGTTACACTTCCCAGACCCTCTCTATCAGTTATGGAACTGGCAGCATGACTGGTTTCCTCGGATACGACACTGTCACTGTGAGTGAGTGTGCAACTATAGTGTGACCTGAGACTTTATCAGTGCCCTACAGGGTAATAATTTTCCATCTGTTCATCCTATCCTGGAAACACAGAGTACAAGGTGATACTACATCTGGGATGGGATTCCTGCCCATTACAGGGCATGTACTGTATATTCACACAGGAACAATTTAGAGACACCTCTTAATCTGACAGGCATGCCATTGGACAATAGATGGGAAACGGAACTCTTGGTGAAAACTGACATGGACAAGAGTGCGCATGCAAGATCCACATCTGGACTGCTCCAACAATAGCCTCAGCAATCAAAGTTAGGGCCCCAGAGTACTGTAGCAGCAGTGTTAAAGAAAAAAACATGAGAGTACAAAGAAAATAAGAAGTTATGCAAGAACCAGATGGTCGTACTTGTACTGTAGCTCAATCTGATATCAGGAAATCTTGTGAAAGAATGATTGCTTATGCAGGTTGTTTATGTTTAAATTTTCTTCTGCAAGGTTGCTGGCATTGCAATCAGAAACCAGATTTTTGGTCTGAGCCAGACTGAAGCAGACTTTGAGTACTACATGCCATATGATGGCATCCTGGGTATGGCCTTCCCCTCCATCTCAGCCTCTGGTGCCACCCCCGTCTTCGACAACATGATGAAACAGGGCCTGGTCTCCCAGGATGTCTTCTCTTTTTACCTGAGCCGGTGAGAAATCCTTCCCCGCATGACACAGACTAATTATCTAGCTTACAGTTCAAGATAGCAAGAGAGGTACAACAGAGGTCTAGACATAAATGGGACTATAAAAGCATTTTTGGAATTTCTAGGATGCTTTGGTAGACTGGGATATACCATTACTTACATCAACTGCCAACTGCTCTTGACATCAGTTTTCAAAACTGTTTGAGTCTTTTTGCCTTAGATAAAACATCTGGTTCCTCTGCAGTCCTGGAATTCCTTAGAATCTTACTCAATTCCAAGATTACACCATTTGTAACTAGCAACAAATTTGAATGCATTAAATTACAGTATATACCTGTACACCCAACTACCTGTCAGCTAACTCTTGTACTATAAAAGAACTTCTATTTTTGCTGGGTCCCTTCAACTATACTATGAGAATTATTTGAAAAACTGATTATTTTCTTATCAGTTATATGTCTTTATGTGAATTGAAGTTAAAATGTGAGGTGCTCTTTGCAATGTCTAATGTGGATTCTTGCTTCAGCAATGGCCAGACTGGCAGTGTTCTGACCCTTGGTGGAGTAGACCCATCCTACTACACTGGCCAGATCTACTGGATCCCTCTGTCCTCCAAGACCTACTGGCAGATCACCATGGAAAAGTGAGCAGATTTATTTTTGTATTTGTCTGTTCTTTTCCATAGAAGTAATATAATATTACACAGTCCCACTTTCCTTGGCCAAACCTTCTGACAACAAATATACATGCTAATATTCATATTTGTATCCATATCCATATCCAATCCTCTGGGTGAGGAAAGATCAACAATTAGTCTAAGAAGGGATACACAAGAAAATAAAGTAAAGGTGTTTCTTTATCCTGTATATGCTATATCAGCTAATGCTATGGTAGCAAGCATCTATAAAGCTGCTTGCGCTGGTCAGTAATGAACAGATTCTGCATTGAAGTCTGATTCTAGTGTCTGTGGTAACATGCAGGGTTACCATCAATGGCAACCTTGTGGCCTGTGCTGGTGGCTGCCAGGCTATTGTGGACAGTGGCACCTCCTTGGTCATTGGTCCATCTAGCGACATCAACAACATCAACGCCTGGGTGGGAACCTCAGGGAGCCAGAATGGAGAAGTAAGACCTTGAGTACAAAAGTTACCACTTTCCTCGTTGAAGCTACCAATATGACACCGATTTCCCATGAAGACAATAGCATGCCTTTTACTCTGTTGCAGCTTGCAGTTTTTTTTTAATAAGACAGAGGAAAACATGAATTTGTTTTGCATGTCCGCTAGAGTGGCATGCACAGCCCTGGAACATGATACAATTCCCATTTATAATCAAAACCCTTTTCCATGATGCATGTGTTCATCTCCATTACATTTTCACAGGGGAAGAGGAGAAACAGCACTGCTAGTGACAGGCAAAGCCTGCTATTTTACTCAAGCATTGTGAAATATTAATTTATTTCTGCACTAGAATGAAGAATAAGCTTATAAGACATAAGTAGGAATTAAGAGAGAATGAATTAAAGACAGAGATTTGGAAACACTTTAGCAAAGCATATGGTTGTGGTGGTTTGGAACAAATCATTGTTTGGGATTCTTTAAAGAGGAAGAGAACTTTAGTTCAATAAAATGTTAGCAACCAAATGGGCATGGTCCCATAAGAAAGGCTACAAATAAGAGGAAAGTTTTTGGCCCAACTAGCGCATTTTGTTAATAGCAAATTGATCCTAGTTTCAGCCAGCTGTTCCTTGAAAGAAGCCAGGATATCAGCTTCAGCATCATAGCTGAGTAGCTTTTTCTACAATATATTTCTTGTTCTCATGTTTATTTTTTTGTTTTTAAGTATAATTTTAACAATGGAATCCATCATTTTCCAAGGCTATTGTGAACTGCAACAATATTGGAAGCATGCCTGCGGTGACCTTCACCATCAATGGACACGACTTCACCCTGCCGTCCTCTGCTTATGTCATGCAGGTCAGTGTGTCCTTGTGTGAGGCTGGTACCTTCCAGGACAGTTCAGAGAGTTAAGCAGGAACTAGACCAGGACTTGTCTAATTTAACAAGCAGCCATGGATGGCACTGGGCTGAACGAGTGCCTTTGGATGGAGTGACCCAAAGTGATATTATAACAGGAAGGGAGACCTAGGTGTTTTCTGCTAACAGGAAGTCATACTCATGTTTCATTCTTACCTCCCTCTAGAGAGGAAATGGCTGCACTTCCGGCTTCTACAGTGGAAACAACCAGCTCTGGATCCTGGGTGATGTGTTCATGAGGGAGTACTACTCTATCTTTAACAGGGCCTACAACATGGTGGGTCTGGCTCGGGCTGTCTAGTCTGGCCTTGTCTTGAGGGAGCAGATCCAAGAAAAGGTGGACAAGTGGACAATACATCATGTCCACTCCCTCACGGCACTCACCATCTGCTTCTAGTTGGCATGTCTGCTGTTGTAGTCCGAAGGGACTGAAGAGGCTTACATTGTAACAGAAGACAGTAAAGAAGATGTTAATCTGTTAGTATACAATATATATGATAGAACAAAACTGACAAATAAAAGCAATTAAAATAATTGTCTTTATTTGTATTTTTCTGACTGAAAAATAAAAGTATTCTAGCATTTAAAATTCATTGCTGTCCTTTTTTCTTCAATCAGAACGTATTGACCTGAGACTGAGACTGGATTGCCAATTGGAATCTTTTATAACTGCAATCTGGTATTCCCTGGATGTCTCCCATTCCAGTATTATCCAGACTTAGCTTTTGCACTGTAACAGGATCAAGCCAGAGTTTGCGGCCATCTGTCTCCATGGCAACCAGCCGTGTTTCACATGTGGAGTCAAACACCTCCCATTGCTGTGAAATCTCGTTCTCATTGACTTTTACATACAGTAATGCAGGATTTTATCCTGTCACAACTTTGACTCACAGCCTTGGTTTTCTGGGTACACCAGTTCCATACATACATAGTTTGTAAGGATTGCTCTAAATATCCAAAGGGAGAAAATAACATACTTTAAATACTGTAGGTTGTGATGGTTGCGCTTTGTCTGCATTACCACTTCATAGTCAATCAGCAAAAGTTGCTTTATTTAAAAAACTCATACAGTTAGGAGCTGCAATGGTTCACCTTTATCTTCCAGGATGAACAAGAATCCTTAATATTGCCAAAAATGTTATCAGCCGCTAACTATGGAGGCATGAATCTGGATGAGAGATTATAGCACAGAAGCCTGATCTGGCGTGTCAAATCTGGGTTCGGCCACCAGAGGGCGGCATAGAGACGCTCCATAATCAGAAAGAAAAAGAAACCCCGCGTTCTCCTGAGGTTACTGGGGGATTGGCTTGACCTGTGGCTAGGCATTTCGAGGGAAATCTGGGAGTCTCCAGATAATTAGGAGAAAAGTAGTCTTGAATATGTAATCCGGATGCAGGATCTTACCGCTGAAATCGCCCATAAATATCTGGAGAGAGTGCAGTAAAATCTAAAGACTTATTATGACCAATGGTCTACGGAAAGGGAATTGAATCTAGCAGACAAGGCTCTAGTTTTTCTCCCTACTCCAAAGGGCAAATTATATGCCCAATGGCAGGGGTATTACAAATGTAGTATGATGGGTATATCTGGCGAATTTCAAAATACATTAACAAGATAAACAGAAAAAAATCCAGAAATACTACTTAAACCATGGAAACAATGGAACAGGAAAAGCATGTTAGTTCAAGTGATTACTGTACATCTTGTGTGCATGTTAAGCAATCCATAGACCAGGACCAGATTGCTCCCAAACTCACTAAAAACCATTACAGAGATATGAAAAGGCTGTTTAGCCATGATCTAATCCTCGCATGATAATTCACAAAACCCCCTACAGAGTCCCAGAAGGAAACCTGCAGCCGCCGATCTAGTCCAATAGTATTAATACTAAAGCTGGTTGGGAGCAATTAAATGAACTCTCTAAATTCAACTTGTACCCAATGCCCAGAGCATTTGTGCTTATATAACACCTAGGGGAAGAAAAATATCTCTCCATTTCAGACTTGCCAAGGGATACTGGTGAATACCTTCAAAATTGCCAAAAGAGAAAACCGCTTTCACAACTCCCACAGGACTGTACCAGTATACAGGGCTTCCTTTAAGTTCACGTGCTTCTCAAGCAGCTTTGCAAAGGCTGATGGATAACATTTTCAGGACTCACATCTCATATGCTTCTTTGCATTTACAGGTTAGTATGGTGATTGCCATTAGATCACAAGGCCTGTCTCAGGCCTGGTTCAAGCAACACTCCTAAACCACACAGGTCTTTATGCTCTGGTTGCTGGTTCACAGAATATTGTTGCCAGTTTCTTTTCTCCCACCAGAATGAAGTGGGTCATTCTACTGGCCCTCATTTGACTTTCAGAGTGTCTTTATAGGTAAACTCCATTCATCTGCATTACAATATACACAGGACTGGGGCCCCAGCTCTATTTACTAAAATGTGACAATTATATCCCTTTAGAAGTTTGTTTTATGTTGGCTTAATTCATAAGACTGGGGCGTTTACTGTAGAGATGTGAACATAAGTGCCTTAATCTGTTTATGCAAACCAATTGGGGGTTTCAAAGTCTTCTTGGAAAAGGGCAAGTCCCTCAGGAACAACCTGGAAGAGAAAGGCCTGTTGGTGCAGTTCTTGAAGAACAACACCCATGATCCCTACGCCAAGTACCAGGGCTTCTTGTCACAATCGCTACTCCTTCTCTTAAGGGCGCTCCAGCCCTTCCTTGTTCTACCTCATTCCCCACACCTGGTCCTTATTCCAGCCCCTCTTTAGTTCCACCTTAAAAGCCAGACGTAGACGTTACTCGAGGTTCCTCATTGAATTCCACTTCGTGAGAGCCAGGGGTCCTGCTGCGTCTGGCTCCGTTATGGTTTAAACTTTCTGTTCCTGATTCCCCTCCCTTCGCCAGTCCTGACCCGGTTCATGGTTTTAATCTCCTGGATGGATCTCCTGGCCTTGGACTTTGCTTCTGTCTTGAATTACCCATTTGGATTTTCTCTTGGATCGTTTGACCCGGACTCACTCCCCCTGGACACCTGCACCCCTTGGACATGCCCCCTGTCTCCAGACCCTCTTCTGCATGACTGTCTCCCCTGTGTTTCCTCATTAATCCGGATCGTGTCATCTGCATAGGGCCCGGAAAGAACTGTTCGTGACACTTCTCTCACAATGGTAAAGTGCCCCTGATCAACTACCTGGATGTGAGTATTATCATTTTTAGACCAATGCTGCTGGCTAACCACATGGACCCTTTAATGCTGTATGTGGATTCTTCACACACACACCACCAGTTCAGAAAAGGTCTCATTTGCTTGATTACTGTACATTGAGACCTTAAATTAATTACTAACTTGCTTACATTAGACCTTGAGCATGTTTGCCTGTTTTTTTGCAATCAAATAACATCAACCCAAAAGTTCTCAAAACGCTTTAGCAATTATATCACCGTTTAACTTGCATGTGCCACCAGTATATAAGGTCTATGAACTCTGAATGTAGCCTTCAGAGAGGAGGAAGGGAAGATTGTCAGTGAGTGATGACATTATACTGCAGAATCAAGATGGACGCTGGCCAGAGTTCAGCTCTCAATGAGTCAGATGTATATAGTGGCCGACATTATATGAGCTTTTCTTTTTTTAACCCAAGGACATAAAGGGTTGCAAAGGTCCAAAGTTAGGTTTGACTTTACCGTGAAAAACACTGTAAGTGTCTAGAGAGATAGTATACAAGAATATACTATGCTACTCTACTGTGATAAGGAATTACTCTAGAACTGCTTTTTTTCTTTCAAAATGAAAATGTCTCTGAGGTGACTTAGACAGAATATATAAAATGGTTTTGTAGCAGTTGAAATGTATAGCTTCTGTCTCTAATTCTAATATGACATGTCCTGATAATGTTCCGAACAATGTATTCTGGTCTGTCTTCTCCTCACATCACAGGTGTCCTACTTTGGGACCATCTCCACTGGAACCCCACCCCAGACCTTCTAGGTGATTTTTGATACCGGCTCTGCTACCCTGTGGGTGACTTCAGTCTTCTGCATCAGTCATGCCTGCTGTTAGTAAGACTGCACACAGTGCTCAGCATCAACAGCAAATCTGTCAGTTTGATAAGTGCCTTTGTATACCAAGGCTACTTCAAATGCCTTTACAATGTAAAGGGTTTGTCTCATGAAGGACTTGTAATTTATCACACCCTGAACATTTCAGATTTAATTTTCTTTTCCTGATAACACTTTCTTAGCATCATTGATTATTTACAGTAGCTGACAAAAATACATAAGAACATAAAAATGTTTTCAGATGAGAGCATGCCGCTCAGACCATCTAGATCATATGGTTTCTGGTAGCTTTGTGAATGGAGGATGTCATTCTGTTTTTTTCATTTGATAGTTTTGTCTGAAGTGACTTGTAGAAACTATAGCTGAGCTCTGGATCAACATTCTTGAAGCCTGCAGAAGAGAAATGAGTGTGTCACTGTCAAACTACAGCTTAATACTGTGTCCTAGGAATACATCATTTTTATTTCAATGAAAATATGATGAATAAATAATATATCACAATAAGTAAGTTCAGCTTCAGCCTTTCAAGGCTTAAATAAAAACACACAATACTCCAGGGTTTGCCATATCCATCTGTTAAACTGTGTTAAACTGTTAAACTTCTACTGAATTCTACAGTTGAACCAGTGAGCTCTCCTTAAACATCAGCTCCACTGTTTACCATCAGGAAACTGTGTCTCCTGGAGTAGCTGGTGACTGCAGACCTATTCTAGACTGAGGGCTGCAGATGTGAATGAGTAAAATGAGGACGGATTTTATCGTGTTCTTTGTCATCTCTATGCCAAGCACTTTAGATGAACTCTTTACGAGAAGATTTCGTTGAATAAAAATTTATTTAGTTTCTTTATTTTGACGTGTTAAAAACAGTTTGGGACATGATAAGCCTCATCTCATACATTGAATCAAGTGATTTTCATTACAACCATGAGCTGTTATACCTGCACTGGCTGAATAGGCTGCCAGTCCAATCAGGAGTGTATGGAGGACGAGGGCTTGCTGGAGGAATTCCTGAAGCAGAATCCTGTGATTCTGGTGAGTAAATACAGGAGTGCTCCCACCATTGGCACCATTGGCCCTCACCAATCACCTTGATGTAATCACAGCTACACTTTGTTGGGTGGAAATAACATATAATGACTTCCAGCAATTAGAAAGCATGCTAAATTATATTATATAAGGTTAAATACAATTTTTGAACATATAAATCCTTAGGTATAAAAAGTTGTATACAAAGTAGTTTATATTTTAAGATGGGAAAGGTTG